TTGGGTACTTTGGAACACGCCTTTGGAAATTTTCGTAGAGTACACTCACCCTCAATTTATTTTATTGCAGGTGAAAGAAGCTGGAGAAAATCCTTGGGGGCTAGCGGTTGTGTACGGAAGCCCAGACCACCACCTTCGAAGGCGTCTGTGGGACGAGCTGAAAGCGCACAAACGAAACATCCCGGACGAGTGGGTAGCAGTGGGGGATTTCAACGTCGTCACCTCTAAAGAGGAAACTCTAAATTATAAGTCCTTTTCTACCCAAAGAAGCGAGGACTTCGTCAACTGGATCCATGAGGAAGGCCTCGTGGACCTGGGCTTTCACGGGCCCAGGCTTATTTGGATGAGAGGCCTGGATGGGCAGGACGCCAAAGGGGCTCGGCTTGACCGGGCTCTATGCAGTGTGGATTGGCGACAAAGGTTCTTCGAGGCCACTGTACGCCACTTGCCGCGATTGTCCTCTGACCATGCACCTCTTCTTGTCCATTCGATAACCCATACGGGGGGTTAGGTAAACTCTTGTTTTAAATTTCAGGTTGTTTGGCTTACTAATGAAAGCTTCTTAAACGTGATAAGCCGGGCTTGGAATCCTAACAAAGAACTTCACGACAACATCAAAAAGGTCTAGGAGGACCTTTGAGTTTGGAGCAGGGATGTTTTTGGTAGCGTTGAGGAGAACAAGAGAAATCTGTTGGCCCGTATTGGTGGGATCCAAAAAAGATTGGCCCTTTCGTACCATAGGGGCCTTTGGAAATTGGAATCGAAGCTACGCAAGGAGCTCGAGATGTTCTGTACCAGGAAGAACTTATGTGGTACCAGCGGTCAAGAGAGGACTGGATTGTGTTGGGAGACATGAACACGAAGTACTACCACACGCTGACAATGGTGAAAAAAGCACAGAATAGAATCTTGGCCTTGCAAGACGTCGCAGGAAACTGGTTGGCGGATGCGGAGCAGCTCCAATCACACATCCAAGCCTTCTATGCTAATTTGTTTAGGGAAGAGAGAACGGGTAATGGTTCTGAAGCGGTAAGAAATATGTTCCCCATTATTCGTCAATCAGAGTGGCGTTTGTTTAACAGAGATGTGACTAAGGACAAGGTTCGTGAGGCTTTGTTTGACATGGGCCCTATGAAGGCACCAGGACCAGACGGCCTCCACGCAGCCTTTTATCAACATTCCTGGCCGGTCGTTGGCGATAGTATTTTCAAGATGGTCAAGGAGGCCTTCAGGACAGGCCAAATCCCGGAGGGCCTCAATTCCACCCTGTTGGTCCTCATCCCGAAAGTCACGATGCCAGAGACAATCAGACAGTTCAGGCCAATAAGCCTCTGCAATGTCTTGTACAAAGTTATTACCAAGACAATTACGAACAGGCTTAAGCTTATCCTTCCTAAGATAATCCGGCAGTTCCAAAGCTCCTTCGTGCCTAGAAGACAAATCACTGACAATATTATCGTTTATCAGGAAGTTATGCACTCTATGCGTACCAAAAAAGGGAAGAATGGAATCATGGCTATCAAAATTGACCTGGAGAAAGCTTACGACCGCCTTTCCTGGGATTTTATTAACGAGACCCTTTTTGATGCAGGTTTTACTGAAGCTTGGAGAAGGGTTATCATGAACTGCGTCTAGACGGCAGAAATGCAAATTATCTGGAACGGGACACGGCTGCCTAGCTTCAGACCGGGAAGAGGAATTCGCTAGGGTGATGCCATGTCTCCTACCCTGTTTGTGTTATGCATGGAAAGGCTTAGTTAGGCTATATCCAAAGAAGTGACTGTTGGGAACTGGAAGGGGGTTCGGGTGTCTGCAATAGGACCAACGTTATCTCATCTTTGTTTCGCAGATGACATGGTCCTCTTCTCAGAAGCATCGTTGGAACAAGTCTCTGTAATGCGACGCTGTCTTGATAGGTTTTGCGATGCCTCGGGCCAGCGAATAAGCCTGGGTAAATCACAAGTCTACGACTAAGCCGGAGGTTGCAGAGGCTATCTCCGCCAAGCTACGCATCCCACGCACAGACGACCTAGGCAGATATTTGGGAGTTCAATTGATACATGGGAAGGTTATGCAGGCAACTTTCACTAGTTTAATAGAGCGAATAACAACAAGGCTTGAGGGATGGCGGAGAAAAACTCAACTTTGCCGGTACAGTCACGTTGGCAAAATCGGTATTGTGCGCCATCCCCAACTATACGATGCAGACCATGACAATTCCCATGGGGGTGTGCCAGAAAATCGAAGCGCTGATCAGAAGGTTTGTTTGGGGAGGAAATTGTGACCCGATGAAACCAAGCCTGGTGAACTGGGCAACAGTCATGATGGACAAAAGAGAAGGCGGTCTAAGAGTGCGAAATATTCAGAATATGAACTTGGCATTCATGGCAAAGCTTGGCTGGAGGATGAAGAAGGAGCAAGACTACTTATGGGTCCAAGTTCTGCAAAACAAGTACCCATCAGCAGAGTCAGGACGAAACTCATCAAATGTTTGGCGTGGGATTCACAAAGCGAGGCCTTTACTGGAGAACGGATTGACAAGGGTCGTCAGGAACGGGCAGAGACACTCAATTCTGGATGGATAAGTGGGTAGACAGGTAGCGTTTGTTTGAGTATATGCTAAAGCTGGTCAGTCTACCGGAGTTTTACGCCCCCGTTGCCGACTACTGGGATACCGCCCGGGGATGGAAATGGGAGATGATCACTGGCGTCCTAGATAAGGAGTGGATAGCGAAGCTCCACGCCATTATCCTCGTTGAAGACACGGGTGCACAGGATGATTGGGGATGGTCTGGTGACAGGAATGGAAGATTCTCCATTCGCACAGCCTACGCGTCGCTAAACCAAGGGAGCGCTGCCCAGGCGGAGAACGATTGGGACATCATCTGGAAGCTTAAGCTTCTGAACAAAATGAACCATTTTTTATGGCTAGTGAAACATGGCCGTTTAATGACGAATGTTGAAAGACAGAAGCGTGGTTTCACGACTAATAGCATGTGTTCCTCTTGTGCAGGTCAACCGGAGACGCTTGATCACATCTTTAGAGGATGTTCGGAGATTGCAGGTTTCTGGGAGCTGATCATGCCCCGCAGTGCTGCGCGTGACGTCCGGGCGATGGGATGGGATGACTGGTTATCTGCTAATTTGAGGGCTACCCACAAGTTTCAGCTCGATGAAGACTGGGCTTCACTTTTTGGGATTAGCCTCTGGTGGTGCTGGCGTTGGAGGAACGATAGGGTCTTCAACGACAGTCACACGTCCTTGGTCCAGAAGAAAGCTTGGGTTCTTACTCAAAGGGAGGAGATCAAGGCAGCCTTCAGGCGGAAATGGACTCCACAGGTTGTCGCTCGTAATAGCGGAGGGGTGACCATGGCGTGGAGAAAGCTGGAGGAAGGATTGCTCAAGTTGAATGTTGATGGCTGCTCAAATGGAGCAGGTTCGAGAGTTGGGTGCGGAGGTATTCTCTGAGATCACAGGGGAGAATGGGTCTGCGGTTTCACGTTCAACATTGGCTCCTGTGCTGCGAAGGAGGCTGAGAAATGGGCGGTGCTCATGGGCTTGAAGTTGGCAACGAAATGGGGGGTTCGACGACTTGTCTTGGAAACTGATTCTTTGCGCACTGTGGAGAGCTTGAATGATGTCAGTAGAAGAGGCGGCATGGACTGCAACATCTTACAGTTATGCAACCAAGAACGCCAGAACTTTGAGACGTTGATTATTGAGCATGCTCCTCGCGAACAAAACAGAGTGGCGGATCGTCTAGCAGCGACCGCCCTCATCCACGAGTTGGGGCTTGAAGAGTTAACGGACAAGCCTCGGATCTGGGAAGATGCTCTTGGCGCTAGAGTGAATCGTCGTAGTGCACCTTGTGCAGGTCGGCAGTAGCTGTGCATGTAGCTTTCTTACGGGTCACCCCCTCCTTCTTTACAAAAAAAAAAAAAAAAAAAAAAAAAAAAAAAAAAAAAAAACCTAATAAATAATATTCTTAAAAAAAACTAATACATAATAAATATGAGATGTAAAATGAGATATATGTAAGAATGAATCAGATCTTCTAAATTAAGTAATTAAACAATTATGAGTAATACCCAATTTGACCCCTCGATTATTAGGATTTCATCACTTTATCCTCAACTTCCAAACTTGCTAAATTTCACCTCCAATTATGCAATTATTAACTAAAATGGTCTTAATTAAGATTATTTTAATTTGGACCAAGGACTATTTTAGGTAAAAAATTGTATAATTGGAGATTAAATTGAATAAGTTTAAAAGTCAAAAATCAAAGTGGTAAAATCTTGATAGTTGAAGGACCAAATCGGATATTAACTCAACCATTAATGTGGAGTTTAAATTTTGTACAAAAAGTCCTTTTGTGTATTGAATAAAATTATACCCTTAGGGCGTTTGGTTGAAAGAAATTTAAATTCCCTTCCCACTTAATTTCCACCTAATCCTAAATACCACAAAATTCTCTTATTTGGTTGAAAGGAATTGCAATTCAATGGAATTGCAATTCTCCCATTTTTTTTTTTTTTGGATTAAAATCCCATGTCCCCCTTGAAATTTTAATTCCTAGGATTTTAGGAAGAAAAAAAGATAGTGATGAGTCAAAATTATTCCTTCTTTTTTTAACCTAAAATTAATGCCTAACAACAAGAATGAACATTTTTGACTTTATACTACTTATTCCCATTCAATTCCCATGTATACCAAACATTGGAATTGAAATTCCCAGTAATTCTATTCCTATAAATCAAACACTGAAATTTAAATTCTCATTTTATTTCCAATAATTCATCTCCTATGAAATTGCAATTTCTTTTTCACGTAATTCCTCCTCTACAATCAAATGTCATGTTATAGTTTTTTTTTTCTTTTTTTTTGGTAATATGACGACGCCAAAATAGAAATATCAAATATAAATTTTGAAAATTATTACGGAGTATTATTATGTGGAATAAATGTGGATGTAAGTAGAATCTAATGAAAATAGTTAATTGCTAAAATAACCTCACTTTGACTAGCATTAATGGTTTTCAATTCCGTATCTGAAATTCCCCAATTTTGTCGCGTAAAGCCGCCATGAACCACCACCATCGGCAGCCGCCGCCACCGCCGCCGCCGATCAACCACCAAACCACCATCTCGCTCCTCAAGCACACCGCATCCATCTTCGTATCCGACCTCCTCCTTTTCCTCTTCCTCTCCCTTCTCATTTTCATATTCCGCTCTAACGTCGACACCGGCACTCACTACCTCACCTCTTTCATAGATCGTGATCCCTCTCTCAAATCTCTCCTCTCCCGCCTCGATCTCTCCTCCCATCATCAACCCCTTCACCAGCACCGCCGCCGCCGCCACCGCCACCGCCACGGCCCATTTCTCCACCTCTCTCGTGTCGGTACCCTGGACGATGACTTCTTCTCCGGCGACTCCGACCTCGACCGTTCCTTGTTCCACCCTTCATTGAAACCACCCCCCAATTCCACTTCCCTCATTCTCTCGGATTTCAACCCCAATTTGGGGTTTTCTCACCCAATCGTTGACAATGGAATCGCTCTGCCCCAGGCTGTTCGCAATGGTTTCTTATCGTTTAAGCCTCTCCCGTATGCGGAAAAAAACGCTACAGTTCTCGGTGGTCCTCATAACGACTATAAAATAGATGATTTACCATTCTTTATGAAGGGTTTGGAGCTGGGCCGTCGTGATGCTACGACATTGTTGTTTCTAGTGGTATTACTATCCACAGCTTATGGATACGTTATCACGTCGTTCTTGGTTACATACACTTGGGTCCATGGCATTGTCTTCCTTAAGGTGCTGGATAATTTGTTGGGTAATTACAGGTCATTTTGTGGAACTGTGTGGCGAGGTTCAAATGTGGGGCTTAAAAGGCTTTGTGCATTTGTTCTAATTCGGTGGGCGGTGAGGGACGCGTTGGCACAGTTATTGGGAATTTGGTCTTTTGGGGAAGTCGAGGATCAAAGTTCATTTTTCAATGTTTTCATAAGGATGAAGTTGATGCCTTTTTCAGATGTTGCTCCATGGATTACAGGGCATGAGAAGGAAAGTTTGTGCTTTATAATATCATGGTTCTTGGTCGAGTTGCTGGTGGGATTTATGTTTGCTGTGGATTCTTGGATTGTTATAGTGGACTCAAGGAAGAGTAGTTGGGAAGTTGTGAAAGAAGGGTGTCATTTGTTGGTGGCATTGCTAGGGCCTGCTGTTCAGATCAAGTGTTGGGAAGTGGTGATTTGCGGGTCATTGTCAAAGTGGATATTGGGTGAATATTTTGGGGATGAATTTGCAGTAGCAATTCTGTCAGCTATAGAAGTTTATTTCATGGTAGCTTGGCTAATTTTTTATTTGGCTGCAAGATCCGTTGATGCCTCTTCACTTGGGAGGACATTTGGGCGAAGAGAGTTGGAAGGCTTCCTACTAGGTGCTAGATGATATGTATTGACTTTAGCTATGGATTAATTCCCTTGCCTATGCAGTTGCATCTTAGAGCCTCTATTGTCTAATGGTGACACTAAAACAGCGGTAATATTCTGATATTTTGTATGCTCAATGCTTAGAACTTTGGAGTAATGTGACACTTGTATTATTTGATGTTGCCAACTCTACTTTGTATTTGCTTTTGATGAGGCAATATATAATGTGTAAATTTCTCATAAATTATTGAGTATACCATTCGGCTTTCAATTCTTATTCACTGCAAAATAATGCTGTCTGGTGGCAAATATATAAATGCATACTTATAGTTGGGCAATTACTGTCTTAAGGTGTTCTATCAGGGGAAGACAGAAAACCGGAGTTCCTTATCCAGAAAAGGGGGAAGGATAGAAAATGGGAGTTATCTTTTTCTATTTGTCACCTTGGTGTTTATAATTTTGAAATTGTTTAATCAAAATGAGTAGCAGCATTTCAGGATTTCCTGTAATATGTGAGAGCATCTTATGTGGTCTTTAGATTCCACAGGATTAAGTTTCCCAGTAAGCCTTCAGTTCATATTCTGGTTCTAAATGTTGCTTGAAATAAATAAATTATTTGATTTTTTCTATATCTTAATCAGTGTATTTATATTAGCATTAGCATCTCAAGTTGTGCAATTAGTGTAATTTTTTTTATTTAATCAACATTATAATATTTCTTCAGCTTCAAACTATCTTTAATGGGTAAATGTGATTTAGGAATGTTTATTCCCTTGTCTTATCCTGCTATCAAGTGCTTAGAAACAGCAGTTTCGGGCTTAAGGTTTTATATTTATATTTATATTTTTAATTTACCATTAAACTTCTGTTAATAAAAGTACAAACAGGAAATGAGAATGTTTGTTTTACAAACTAATGATGGTTAAAATTTCTTCTACATCATTTTGCCTTCTTTCCTGTTCAGAGATCTGGCTTTTGTCCACCCAAGTTCAGCTAATTTTGAGAGTCTTGGATTTAATTTTAGCTTTGTGGATAATGGACAGGTTTTCGGCTCCATAATTTTATGTAATTGAGGCTAGTTGTAGCATGACTAACTTTAGTCCATTGCTTTCCTGTGCAATATCATTATTCACAGACCCTATTTACTTCCAATGTGATACAAGTATTGTTTATCCAACATTCCAAAATCAATCTGTACAAGTAAAAATGTTTCTAAATGGTTCCCTGTACAGTTTATGTTGGCAAAACTTTAAAGGAAGCTAATATTTAGATGAGGGGATTTTTCTATCTTAGATTAAGCAAATGAGTCCGGTTAGTCCCTGAAGTATTGGACAAGTGGTGTAGATAGGTTGTATCTTTAGAAACTCTCTACTGTCGAATAGCTTTTGTCTTTGCCTGATTTAGTGACAAAGTGCTGTTTAGCTTTTTTTCTATTGCCTCAATTAGATTGTTCTTCTAAATTTCATTCCAATTAATGAAAACATTAGAAGAAGGGTGTGTTCTTTCCAGTTAAGAACGGCAAATTATATCGTGCACCAGGGCACACAATGCATTGTGCGCCCTAAGAGTTTATGTGTATTATGTTAAGAGTTCATGTGTATTATGTTAAGAGTTTATGTGTATTATGTATTATGTTAGATTATGTGTATTACGTTAGGAATTTATGTGTATTCTACTATACAATTATGTATATACGAAAGAGTTAATACCCAAAATCATCCTCGACTATAGTGGTTTTTCTCAATTTCGTCCTAAACGACTTTGGTGACCTAATATCGTCCCAGACTTTTGTGTTTCGCTCAATTTAGTCCCAGACTTTTGTGTTTTTGCTCAATTTAGTCCCTCATTTGTTATTCTGTCCATTTGATGTTAAATAAATAGACAATTCAGTAATTTTAATATTGGCATCTCTTTACTCATAGACATGTGAAGTGCGAAATCCCTTTTTTTTTTTACGAATTACTTCCAGAATTACTCCTAAAACTGCGAATATAAAATTTAATTTGCATGTTCGGGAGTAATTCTGGGTGTAATTCATACAAGAAAGAGAAATTTCGCACTTTACAAGTTGAAAGTAAAGAAAGATCAATATTGACAATTTGAATTGTCCCTTTATTTAACACCAATTTGACGGAATAACAAATGGAGGACTAAATTGAGCGAAACACAAAAGTCTGGGACGATATTAGGTCACCAAAGTCGTTTAGGACGAAATTGAGAAAAACCACTATAATCGAGGACGATTTTGGGTATTAACTCATATACGAAACATGGGATTTTTAGGGTGCAGAATGCATTGTGCGCCCTGGTGCACGATATAACAATTGGTTAAGAACACCTTTAGTAGAAGGGGATTGCCACATTAATTCTCATGTGCAAGTGTGCTAAGCAACTTAAGGTTCAGTTCTTTTTCTTTTTTGGCCTCAGTGTTATTGATTTTGTGCAGCAGCATATGCGAAGAGTTAAGATTAATGAGTTTTGATATACTATAGTACACAACAGGGTCAATATAAAATGTAATGAGTTTTACATCTGGATCAACAAATGCAGATTGAGATCATTTTGCTTCTAGGAGGTGTAGCACTTCTAATGACACTGATGAAGATTTTCTCATCACAAGGTATCCAGAATTTTGAGTCAGCTGTGAAATCGTATGCATCCTGAGCTTGATCCAACAATGCCTTGAATAGTGGGTGCTGGAGTATGGTGATTTTGATAACAAATCTTTTCTGGTTTTCCCCTACGTAGACCACCAAGTGACCCTTCGGAACATCGCTTGGGATTGTATTGTCTTCATGCACAAAAGACCACCATGCCCATTTACAGCACTTGTCGGCAGTGGCTGCAGAAGGTACAAGTCTGCTACCCACCCTCTGCAATTTGTTTAGGCACACGTTGAGCAAATTTCCCTTCATGATTTTTTTAGAATCTTTTATATTCTGTGCAAGATATACACTGAGAATCAGCTAGTTGTACTGAAGGGAAGAGAAATAAGTGTAGTAGTGCCCATATGAAACTAAGACAGGTTTATATAAGTGTTGGAGAGACCCAATATTTTGGATCAGTAAATGCTTGACATGGCGTGTAGCTATTAGGCAAGTGTGACTATAATATTTTAAGTATGATAGATAGTGAATTTGCGTGCAGTACCTTACTACCTTTATTTCATTTATAGTATGCTTCTTGATACGAAATGTACGAACATGCATTGCATGACCTCTAGTAATATGTTCCATAAAATCTTCTTTCACTCTTTTCTTGACTTATGAGTAGTAAATGATGCCAGATGAACAATTTTCGTAGCATCCAAAGTAAGACCCCACAGATGGAGAAGATAAGATAAGAAAGATCACTGACATAAGCTTATTGGGTGAAGTGCACTGCCCATTTCGCAGTTATAATTGTCAATCTTGTAATAAATCACATGTCTGGGATGAGAAAGAGTGGGAAGTGCATGGCAGTTTGGATCTTCAATTTCAGACTTTTCAGTCATTTATGCTGTCAGGTAGAATGATTTAGCCTTAGCCATGATGAGTGAGAATTTAATACATGATGATCTGCTTTAAAAATGCACTTATGGACCTAATTAAGATGATTTTGCATGCAAGTTTGTTAAAATGTGTCATCTTCAACTGTCTGTCTGTCATGTGATTTTGGCTAGTCCTAACTCCTAAGGCTAAGATTACATCATTTTGGAATTTATTCTGCTGACACTTTATCCATCTGTCTTTCTACATTAACTCTCTAGTAGCTAGTGTACAATTCTGATAATCCATTTTGGGTTCAGTGCAGAAGTTATTGTACTTGGTCAGAGACTCCAGATTAATTTCACAACTTTTTGTGCATGCCCATGAATGCAGACAGGGGATTGGAATTCCAACCATTAATAAATCCAAGAATAAAACAACTGCAGAATGATATGACACCCGAAAAAGCTTCTCCCCCTTTTGTTGCAAGAAATCAAGAAGTAATATATTACTGTGTATGTGAAGGTGCCGGAGATCTGCAGTCCTTTGATCAAGGATTCGGGATTTCAGTTTACAGAAAGTAATACCCAAGTTGGACGAGATATAGCCGACCTCTCATTGGACGAGATATGGAAGTTGATTAGTTCTCCTGATGATTTGGCTTAACCGTTAACTTAAGATGGTTCATGAAACTTCTTGAGCTTAGCTTCAGCCTTCAGATCTCATCCCACATGTCCCTTTGAGTGTGTAAGGTAACTGGATTTTATTTTATTGGTTGAAAATGGTGCATGGAATTTGTAGCCACGAGTGGGAGGGGAATGATTGCCAAATCTGAGCTGTAAGTCCAGATGAGAAGTATCCCTGTGTTTGCTGTGATGTGATGTGTCTGCGGATTGCAAATTGCAGAAGAATGATTGGAGAAGCCAGCTATGAGCTATGCTTATATCCATCCTCCATAGACGGGATACTGTACTCTCACCGTATGGGTTTAGCTCAATGGTTCAGTATGCAGTATTTGGGAGAAGAAGATGAGAAGGGATAGTGTACTCTCCTTGGTGGTTGCGAGATTGGAAGAACAACCTTTTGCTCATTCTACTTTTATTCTCATACATGCATACATACAGTTTGAATGTCAAATTGCACTCCATCTTGAATCTTGATTGCCTTCGTCTACATTGGATCAAGAAGAGGCGATGACTTGCAGGCTTGGTGGCCATACTACCCAAACTTTTTTTTTTTTTTTTTTTTTTTTAATTTATTATCTACTTCTGCTTTAAAAATACAAAACTATGCGCCAAATCACTTTAAAAAGTCACATACAATGTTTAGTTAGCAAGTTACGGAATATATGGTAACTTGTTGATTGTATTTTTTTTTTTTTGGTAAGTTTAAGGTCTAATTATTGAAACTTTTTATTTTTAAATTTGGGGATTTAATTGTACAATTGTTACTAGTTTCAGTAGTTTGAGAGCATTTTCCTTCTTAATAATAATAATAATAATAATAGAGTAAATTTCATTTTTGTTTTAGATTTATAGGTGGTATTCCACTTTTAGTTCTTTTTTATTAGAAAATTCTCATTTGATCTTAGTATTATTGTAGTATGATCATTTTTTTTTATCATTTGTTAACAAAATTGTTGAAATGTTGTTAAATACAAGGATATTTTGATTATTTTATGCAAAGTAGATTGACCCGTTAAATTTTTATTTTATTTTTTTGTTTTGAAAAAAATTCTAATTGAAGGACCGAAATACCTTTGTATTTAATAACATTAAATTGTTTTTTGTTGATAAATGATCAAAAATGATCTATGTCACAATAATATTAGGACAAAAAATAAATGTTCTGAATAAAAAGAACTATAAATAGGTTGACCCCTATCAATTTAAGACAAAAAATGGAATTAACTAATAATAATAATAAGTGGTACAGTGTGCGGCCTAGAAAGTAGTAACAAACGTGGGGGTTGCCATGCCACCTACGGGCACTGATATTTTGGTTCATTCCAAACCAACCACACGAATGCATGTCTTACTTAAGGAAGCTCAACTTACCCATTTAAATAACATTCCGCCACAAATCACTACAATTATAAACTCACATAATTTTTCCCTTTTGGAAATTATTACCCACATACAAACTTCTAATTATATATATCCTCATTTATACAATCTATTTTGAAAAAAAAAAAAAAAAAAAAAAAAAAAACGTCATTTAAGCTCTAATTGTGTTATAATGGTAACTCGGTTATTTAATATTGATATAAGAACAAATTTAAAATTTCATTTGTTTCTCACAAAATACTAGTCAAATAAGTATATAATTGAATATGATTTGTTATAAGTATTTGTATGTGTTATATAAAAATGTCAAAGGAAAATATTATAGTATTAGAAAGTTTGATTTTCTAGTAATCCAAAAGTTCTGATGGTAATTGCACGAAACATTCTACTATCATCAATTCAAATGGTATCAATGGATTCACCTTCCTCGAGTTCCTTAATTCTCCATTTCTCATACTCTATTATGTTTAAGAATTTTAATGCATAATTTTTTGACCAATCCGGTCATGGCCTGGCCAGCTCAACAACTCCCAACCTAAATTCGATCATTCAAAAACATCATTCTTTCATTGTCTTCCTTTTCTTGTGCGGCATAACAATGGAGAAATGTCTTGGACCTCTCACGTAGTACATTTTAAGAATGTTTGTACTGCTCAAGAAAACTTCTCCTTTACTGTTAAATATTAAGCATTTTAATTTATTCTTGTGTAGATTCTCGTGTTTAAGTTCTTGAACTGGGTTCATATTGGCTCCTTTGTCATGTTGAGTTCTAGTATTATGAGTTTTTTTTTTTTTTAGTGGGATCAAAATCATAGGCCATGAAACCGATGAAGAAAGTCATTAGAGAGTAGTTGGAAATGTTGAAGTAAATAGAAGACCAGTTGCCAAGCTCGTGGTAGACGATGATGAGCCTCTGAACGTATAGCACCATAAGATGTCAAAATGGCTTAAGTTGGCTCCTCTTCTCCGCAACGTCAGACTTATCGGTTGCATGCACCAATTTGAATCATGGTATTGGAATATAATTTGTTATAGTCGAAGTTTTAATTATTTCTTGCATATGAATATAATATATATTATTTTTCTTCTTTGTCTTCTCTATAATTTCATGTAAATAAAGTTTCATATTTTCCCTTACATTAACGTTAGGTTTCAATAGATACTTGAGGTGAGGGATAAAAATGATTACTACACGAATAATTCAGGGACTAAATAGAGTCAATCTTATAATTAAGAGAATGTGTTTACCACTATAGATCAGAGGTCATTTCTGCATCTATTTTTTCTATTATTGTTTTAAAATAAGTTAATAAGTTTTTCTTTGCTAGTAGCGGTTATGGTACATGGTTGAATCCTACCATAGATTAAAAAAGGGAGGTAGGCATTTGGTTATGATATGGTCATTAGTGTACAAGTATTTGGAGATTGTAGGCCAGTTGAGGTACTTCGCGTGATTTACCTCCTCCACCAGTTTTCAGAGCAGGAGCGGTAAAGGGTCTTTACGTTTGGGGTTCAAACTTATTATTATTATTACTAGTCATTTTTACGTGCGATGCATGAATTTTGAGCCTAATATTAAAATAATACTTTAAATGTATTAAATAAAAAATATTTATCAATAAAATAAATTTAAAATGTTATTTTTAACTCGTCATAGTTATGCTTGTAAAATTTTTATATTTTTGAGAAAGAGATACTATTTAATGAATGTAAAATTAATTATTACCATATTATTTGTGTTTATAATGGAAAAAGAAAGTAATTTAAATATGTTAGCCAATAATTTTGAGATAAAACTAATTAAATGACTAATAAATATGGTATGATTAAATAGATTGTTATAATATTAATTTTAATAAATGATCCTTAAATAGTTTTATCAGAAGTCTAATCGTATTATAACGAAATTTCTGTACTTTTATCATGATAAAATGCGATATTCACTATTTTAATTTTAATGTACAAACATATTAGTCTTAAAAATACAAACAAAAACCATATATATAACATATGGATTCATACATATAATGTTTTTAGATTATTATTATTATTATTATTATTATTATTATTATTATTATTATTATTGAATATATTCTAATTATTTGTGTGTAATTAATTATGGGATTTGGGAAATTCTAAAGGGTCGATTTGTACTAAGAGGTGGATAGTTGATAGCATATTATATTAATTGTTTTAACCAATTGATAATATTAATGATTTGTAAAAAATGTTTGGTAAATTATTTGTTTACTTTGTTTATTTGTCAGCATATAATCATGTAAAATGACTTTAAAAGACATGAAAATATTATTTTATTTATTAATTAGCTTTAAATTATTTTTAGTTTTAAGTATCAATTTGACGAAATTTCAATTTTGGTCATATGACTATAGCGGTCTTGTTAATTTCAGTCCTTGACTTTTAAAAGTGTCAATTTAGTACCTTAATTATAGTTAAAATAATGAGGCATTTTGGTCGTTTCACGCCTCTTTTATTCTTCTCCGGCGAGTCCATTTCTTTCTCTCCGTTTCCGGCGTTCTTTCTCTCTCTAAACCCTATCTTTAATATCATCAAGCTTCCATTCCCCATTATCTTAGTTCATTGCATTCACCGGAAACGGGAGAGGAAGGGATGGACTCGCCTGGGAAGAAGAAAAGAGACGTGAAATGGTCAAAATACCCTCATTATTTTAACAATTAAAATTTTCCGGCGAAATTTGGCCAGAGTGACCAAAATTGACAAAAATTGCATAGTTAAGGTACTAAATTGACACTTTTAAAAGTCAAAGGACTGAAATTAACAAGACCCCTATAGTCATATGACCAAAATTGAAATTTCCTCTATAAATTTTAAATAAGTTTATTTTAATAATAATAATTTAATTATTATTATTGTTGTTGTTGTTTTTTCCACCATTCTTATTTATTATTTTAACTATTATTTTTTATTTTTAAAATAAATATAACTCAATATTTAAAATGTAAATTTGAAATAAAATAAACATAAACACCACAATAGCCAACAACTATTAAATTCAAATTAAACTTTTAAAAAGAAAATGCAATCAATTGATATCAAGTAACTATTTCATTTTTGGGTGACTCTACTGTGAATATAGATGAAAAATGTAATATTTATTATGGAAAGTGTTTTAAAAAGAAAATGCAATCAATTGTTTTCAACTTAAATTTATTTTTATCTTTTTTCTTTTGTACAAATAAAATTAATGTATACAAAATATAACATTAAAAAGTTCTAATTGAGATCTTTTAAATGACACATATATCGAATAGGGCAATTTATATCCTACACCACGGCGCGCGTTGCACTGTGCGCCCAGATGCAAAACGACGTCGTTTTAATTTTTTTTTTTTTTTTTTTAAATTCCCGCCCCAGTGAATGGCAGTTACTTGTTCTTTAAAAAAAACCCCTGTTCAAAAATGTACATAATGTTATACTAGAATACACATAATTGTATACATGAATGTACATAATTATATAACAAAATATACATACTCTTTTTAAAAGATAATACACATAATCTAACATAATACATAATAAACATAAACTTTTAACATAATAAACATCAACTCTTAACATAATACACACAAATTTTCTGATTCGAATGTACATAATTGTATAAAAAGAATGTACATAATTGTATAAAAAATGTACATAACTAGATGAACAAATACACATAATTGTGTGAACAAATACACATAATTGTGTGAACAAATACACATAATCCCAGCAACTTCCTACCGCGCCTCCCAAAACGACGTCGTTTTGGGAGGCGCGCGGCGCACAGTGCTATGTGCGCCGTGGTGTAGGGTATAATGATTGATCGAATAGTTACTTATTGGAAAAGAAATGTAATACTAACCATGAATAAATTGTTTAATTGTTACTTACGTGAAAATGTATAATACTTATGACGAAAAATGTGTTAATTTTGATGAAAAATGTAATACTTTTAAATCAAATTAAAATATAATAATATTAAGAATTGAAGAGTAGTTATGATAAAAAAATTGTAATGTTTCTCAAGCATGAGAATCCGTTGAGAAAACCTCATAGAAGATTTTGTCTTACAACATTATATGATATGCACAACATTATCATCATTATAGTGAAATAAAAAAAAATGCTAATCACATGACAAACACAAGATCAGTAAAAAAAAAAAAATGCAACTTTAAACTTTAAATCAATCACATATGTAAAGATAACGAAAAAGAGAAATGGTTATGCAGTGAAGAGAAAGGGGGAATGTCTGGTAGGTGATTTTTTTTTATGTTTTATTTTCTCTCTTTTGAGTAGCAATGAAGAGTGGGCCGAGAGGGGAAGATTGGAAACACCACATGACAGTGATATGCATCTTAGCCTGCTGCTATGCCCATTACATTACACAATTATTATTGTGAACACCATGGGATCATAAATAAAAAGTACATTATTTTGTATACTATCAAATAATGTACATTTAATACATAAATAATGCATTTTTAGTATATAAAAAATGTACTTTATATTCAGTGAAAATACATTATTTTGTATAATGTGTATTCAGTACACAAATAAGAGTGAATTTCATTTTTCGTCCTATTGTTATATGACTTTTCCAATTTTAGTCCACCTTAATTAATTTTGCCACATTGTGATCACTGTTATTAAAAGTGTTCTAATTTTAGTCCATCGTTAGAATTTCTGTCAGTTGGCCGTGTATTCCAGGGGTATTTTCGTCTTTATTTGTTTTTGTCTTCTCCTTTAAGCGTTTGACTGTATTTCCTTTACCTTTCCCAGCCAAGTTGCGGAGACCTCTTCTGATGTTCTTGGAGCCCAATTTTGCGGGACTTTCCGATGTTCTTCCGGTGGCCGGTGTCTTCTTTCTTCTTCCTCTCAATCTCACCTCTACAAATTTGGCGGCGGCACCGCTTTCTTAATAGGGTGGTTGGGGAGCTTCAAGCTTCTTCTTTTTGCATTTGGGAGTGGCCCTTTGTTTTCTTCCTCGCCGCTGCCGCTCTCGAGATTCGTGGCCTTAGCTTGCTTGCCGATCAAGTTTCAAGAATCTAAGAGATCGTCGGAGAAGAAAAGCGGCGGCAAGTCGCCGGTGAATTATCTGACAAAGTGGTTTTGTTGGGAATGTTGTTTCGTTTGTACACTTACCAAGATATTCCTCCCAAGCTGTTGTTGTTGTGCTACTACTGCCATATCTACTTCGTCTTAGACCTCTCGTTGACGGTGGTGAGTGCGACGGTCCAAGCGGTGGTTGGAGTGGAGCTGGAGCCATCGTTCGATGACCTGCATTTGGCTACCTCGCTGCAAGATTTCTAGGGCCGGAGGTGGAATCTCATGGTGACCAACATCCTCCGCCCCGCCGTGTACGACCTAGTCCGGGCGGCCGCCGCCCGGTTCTTGCCGCGAAAGTGGGTGGCGCTCCCGGCGGTGGTGGCGACGTTCTTGGTCTCCGGGATCATGCACGAAGCCGTGTTCTACAATATTGGGAGGGTGAAGCCCAGCGGAGAAGCCATGTGCTTCTTCCTCATCCAAGGAGATTAACGCCAAGAAAGCCATTAATGGCAATAGGAGTGTTAGCGAACCTAGAGCTTTCACCAAACTACTCGTGTGTGTTTGTGTGTGTTCGGTAAGCGTTCATTTATGTTCGTTTGTTAAGGTAAACGAACAGGGCTTGAACAATTGTATGCTCGTTTGCTAAGAGATCGTGAATAAGCTCGTTTGTGTTCGTTTAATAATGTTCGTGAACAAGCTCGTTTAGTGTTTGTATGTTTTGACTTGTAATGTGAACAAACAAATTATGTGTCTGTGCATTTTTTTTTTATTTGAGACATGAATTTTTATTTCAATATTAGATGCTACAAACAGGAACAAGATTTTCAAAAACCTTAACGAACACGAACACTCCAAAATTCTTAACAAACGAACACGAACAATCTCCATTCGTTTATGTTCGGTTCGTTAACAGTCCTAAATGGCAGGTTTTGGCTGTCAAGAATCGTTTCAGGGCCACTATCACTCTCCTTTGTCATTCTCACAAGTTTTTGGCTTTTCTTTCCTCCATTTTTGAGAAACAAGCCAGATATCAAAGGATGGGCAGAGGTTCTTGCCTTTATCCAGTTTGTTAAGCATAAAAAACTAGATGGCTAGAAGAATTCATCCGCAATTTGGCTGGGAAAGGGAAAGGAAAACCAATTAAAAGGGTAAAGGAGAAGCTTCAACCATAGAATGACAAAAATACCCCTAAATAACACGGCCATGAGACAAAAATGTTAACAGTAGACTAAAAGTGGAACACTTATATAATAATGGTCGCAATGTGGCCCAGACAAATAATGGTGGACTAAAATTAAAATAATCCCTATAACAGTAGGACCAAAAATAAAACTAACTCCACAAATAATATACTTTTAATATATTAAAAATGTATATGTCTACACAACACTGTGAAGTGTGAACCATAGTCCACATAATAATTTACCTACATTACATATACCAACAGGACAAACACTGGTGGTGTATTAAATGAGGCGTCGTGCCAATCCCAATTCCCAATTATTTGATCCCACTCCATCCCTGCACGTGCACTCTTCACCCCACTCATTAGCTCCCACCATACTTAATTTCTAATCAAATTTTTGGGATAACATGCAGCACCTACCAACCATATGGAGAAAGGGGCAGAGGGGACAGGCATACATAGTTATGTTCAAATGAAAACCATGCTTAACTTGAGAGTTGAGACTATGAAAATTGCATGAGTGCATACAATTTACTACATGAATGCACACTAACTACTCCCAAAGTCTCCACCGTCATCCAGGCATGACTGCGAGTAGTTAGTGTGCACTCATATAATAGAATGTGTATACCCATGCAATTGTTCGCATGGTCTCACGTTAAGTAAATTCTCACCTGAACACAAGTCTATATATATATATATATATATATATATATATATATATATATATATATATATATGGTATCCAACTTCATTTGAAGAACCAATGTTTTATTCACAAAGTTCCAACTTCATTGGAAGAAGCATTCAACTTCTGTTGCTTTATTCATAAAAGTTCTAAATCCGAATATATGTTGTGGAATATGATGTAATGCAACTAAGGGAAAGGGGCGTGCAGAATCTATGCTTATGTTCTTCACTTGTAGTGTAAATGCAGTAGGAAGATGTGTTAAGTGACAATCTATTTCATGCACAACCACAACCAAAGAGGCCGGGGGGTGGGGGGGGGGGGGGGGGGTGGTAGGGAGTTTGCATTATTATAAGAGATAATAAAATATATATACATGCCTAAAGGTTCATATACCAAAGACAAATAATTAGAAGCAGAAGAATGCCTAATGCATTACATGCAAGCTATAGTCAGTTGAAATTTGACAAATTATGCACACAACTCAAAATAAATGAAGATCAGATAGGTGAGAAAACAGAGGGTTAAAAGAGCCAAAGAGACTTGTAGAAAAGGACTATCAGAGAATGGCAAACAACTATCAACCAGCCAAGAGACAATCAACCTTGACTACCAATCTTTCTGTGGATCCTTGGTAGCTTTATTTGGGAGAATGGAAGTGGAGGATTTATGGGCAGGGCATTAAGTCTTGGATTTGCAGTTTCTTGGGTATGGATGAACATTGGCCAGTTCACAAACCTGGTTCAAGATGGACTTCGGCAAGGGACGCCAAGAAAAGGTTTGCTTTCCCTTATCCTGCATTTTATCATTTTAAGGGTTTCAAAATTGTTATGAATAGTCACAATAAAACTTCTTAAGGGAGTACTTATCAATCAATAAATAAATCAGATTCTAATGGGGGGAGTGCATAGTAAATAAGGATATAAGAATGTTCAATCCATGGAGGTAAGTCATAGAGGAGGGCATACAGAGAAGGGCACTTTAAAAATGAAAAAGAAAAAGTAGCATTCAAGTTACCAAGTGAAAAATCATCAGAGGGAATACATGTCATAAAAATGTGAATTTTGTCTCCCTCTAATTTCCAAATCTAACAGGCTACTTGGTAGTTGGTATACATATCACATGCCTTAATAAAGCAGATACATCCAGTTAAAGTTCATCAGAAAATTCAAGTCTTGTAAAAAAAAGAGCTGAGTGAAAAAATAAAAAATAAAAATAACTGACCCCTTTCTTGCTTTGATTCTGAAGACGGCTTGCTTTTAAAAGATTTCTCCACTTGTCCTATTTAGTTTGTGAACAGAACATTTCATAATCATTAACAAGAAAGATTGTTTTTAACAGAATAAAAAGCAAGAAGATGAAAAAAAAAAAAAAAAAAAGGTTTTTCGGCTGTTTACTATTGAATCACAGCTGATAAAAGGATGTACACCTTTAGATCTACTGGTGTCCGATAGTCAGATGACGAGAAGAAAATCCTCTTTATTTGACTCCACTTTCCAACTCCACATTGTGAAACCCCATCAACTAACTTTCTGACCTCTGAAATAGTCCATAGCCTGTGGTGCTTTCTCCGAGCACAATTCCCATCAGATCTAGTGATTGCGGCACTATCATCTTCTATCACACCCAGTGCCATTTCTTCAAAAGAATCCTGACCAGTTTTGTAAAAATGCCAACCGCATTACTCAAAGAGTTAAGTAACCATGAAGAAGTACAGGAATTTCAAAGGATTAAGGCAAAAGTTAATGGTGCATTCACTCTGAACTAGTCATACATGACCTAACTCAAATTAGGGTGCATACATGATACATCATTGACCATTTGACCTTCATAAAAGAAAATATTAACGAAGTTGAAAAATAAAGTCAGTGGTAGGACCACTCTTTAAAATAATTGCCTAGCCTTTTAACAAATATACTTGTTAATTGTTATATTGATGTCTTTATCAAATTTGACCATTCTCTTGATGCTTATAGGTAGAAGTCCTTCCCCAGAAGATATCAAACACATGAAAGCACAGTGCAGTAGCACTGAGTAGTATATTTTGTTTGTGTTATTAAATGTGTAAACAGTGAATACATGAAACGAAGCATAGACAATTCTAAACTTCGCTACATCTGAAAATTATGAACTTGCTAAAGAAACCAAAAAGGGTATATTTTCCAGCTTTTACCTTACTAACATTGGGTGCATGCCTCTTACAACATTCCTCAGAATCAAAAGATATGTGGTTTGACTTTACCATCTTCACAAGGGATGCCTGCTTCTTATCAGATATTTCAGAGCCAAAAGATGATACATAGTTCATCTTTACCTTCTTTACATTGGGTGAATGCTTCTTATGACACAATTTAGGGTCAACAGATGATAACTGGTTCAACTTTACCTTCTTCACATTAGATGCATGCTTCCTATCACACTCTTTGAGGCCAAGACGTGAAATCTCTATTGACTTCACTTTCACCACATCAGATGCAACCTTCTTATCACATTCTTCAGGTACTAGAGGGCCAAATGGCACTTGAATAGCATTGAAAGTAAAGTCCTCAGAAAGAGACTCTATTGCTTCAGATTCAGGTTTGGGTTTCTTATTACATTTGACACTTTGACACTTATTCTTTGATGCAGAAGCAGAACCCTCTTTCCTTTTCTTGACATATCTTGTGTTAAGATCTGATGATTCGTCAATATACCTGCGAGTAGGTTTGCGCACTCTCCTTTGTGTATGAGAAGAGTCGATGGTATTTGTCTGGGAAGAGTTCATTTTTGGTGAATCCCCAAGATACATAGTTCCATGGCCCCCATTCTGCCCTCCTAGATTAAACTCTTCACTTTGCTTGATTGTAGACATGCAGACCAATCCACTTGATGTTAGAGCAGGAGTGAAAATCATGTCTTCATCTTTCTTATTAGAAGATATGCTTCCTGGGAAGAAGCTTGTTACATCTTCCAAATAGTCAATATGTCCCGAAGTGAATGAAGTAGGGAATTTGTGACAGTTCCCCTCAACTGACATTTCACCCTCATCTATGCGGCTGGGGAGTCCATGAAACTCAGGATTCGTCATCTGAAGTATATTGCTCCAGCATTCAGCTTCTTGAACTACACCTGTCAAATAGCATTCTTTAGACCATTAGTATATCATGATTTGAAGTTGGAATCGTTTTACTAAATTCATGATGGTTTCAGCAAATATAGTCCTGATCCTGAAAAAGACATGTAGAAACATAAAAATTAAATTGCAGAATGTTCATAATATTTATCGGGCAACTACAAGTATTTATTATCATATAAAAAATAAAAAATAAAAAATAAAATAAAAAGAGTAATATCTATCATAAGGGTAGCAATAGTTAAGCCAAAAGCAAGTTCACCTAAAAGATAACCACCATATGCATCCAAGGGATCATTTGGCACTTCAAAAGTTTCAGCTTCAGCATAGCTTGGCTTCAAAATGAAATTATTTCACATAAAATTTCAATTGTTCAAAGTTTTTGGACACATAGAAGGAAACAACTAATTAAAGCAAATACTTTGGGAAACTAATTAAAGCATATTACAGTTTCTCACTTTCTCAAGAAAAAATAATAATAATAATAACCCTTGTCTTCAATATATTTATATGAACTATATATTAATGTATAAACCTTAGGCTACTTTTCAGTTCTAAGTTTGGGTTTAAGAATCAAATAGCCAACAAGTAAAAAATGCTGAGTTGGTTATGGGTTTGATGGTTAAAACTGCAAAATCTAACTTAGAGATGATGGTTATTTGATTTTTAAAACTAAAAGCAGACTACCTATGTCTGAGCTTATTAACTTCAGCTTGGTTTGTTCAGTTTGGAAGGTTATTCAATGCTTCTACTTCCCCTAGATGGAAGTATCTCTTGCTGGGGAAAAGTGGGAAACAATGTAACAGCCCTGTTACACCCCCAAAACAAAACAGAGCAACCCAAAGACAAGCCTTTTGAGTATGCTTCACTTTTTTAATTTAAAAGTGTATGTATGTTATCTTTTTTCTTGTTGGTATAAGTATCCAAACAATAAATTTAGGCAAATACCAGGTCTTGGTTTCAATTAAATGTAAGAGGTATGTTTTCTTTCAAGGGACCAAGATGTGCCCCCGGCCCCCTATTATACAAAGAGAGATTAGCCCAATGAATAAACAGAAAAGCATCTCTTTCACAATGTAGTAAATTCAACCATTGGCCAGAAGGAAGGGCAACATCCAACATACCTCCTGAATCAGCTCTTTCTCCACTTGTAATGAAATACTAGGATCTTGCCTGCCTTTTAAAAAATAGTTATTAAAAAAAGGGACTGCAATTAGAAGTGAGATACACTTTATCCATGTAAGAAGAAATAAATGAGAGTTAGCTGAGAAGACCACAAAAATGGAATAAATGCATGCCATGACAAGAAATAAGCTAGTTAAGCCAAGTGCACAATTATTAGCCATCAACAGAAGAAAATTCTACGTTTATCCATGGACACAGGGTGTTAACATCTATCACAAAAGAAAATCATTACCTCAAACATCACATAGATCTCCTAATAAGTTTTGCTGACATATTAGGCCCCAAGACATGTTTTTTTTTCCGTTTTCTCACCTCACTCTTGTTGCTTACAGGTTGGAAAAGGATTAATAAGAACCAAGTAATTAAGAAGAAGGGGAAAAAAAGAGGCACAAGAAGCCAAGTATAGCAGTAGCATTTAACTTCATTACATATGGACCTACAACAGAATACACACACGCACACATAGTTTAAGAAAGTTGAAGACATAGAAAATCAAAGCATATGAAGTGTAGAATTGGCATGCAAATTTAAGTGCTAGCACCAGTCAATTATAGAAACAAAAAGAATGCCAGTATACATCCACCAAACATAAGTTCCTACTAGCATCCATTTACTGCTGGAGTAGCAAGGAAAAGGAATTGAGAAGGGACAGATTAGTCTACTAAAACTAGTTTTTACCTTCCATTTTAATGCACTTCCTTATGCTCTCCCTTGTCAAAGCATATGAACCCAGTTACAGAAACAAGCTTGTCTTTGGGCTCTGTAGGGAAAGAAACTCAAATTCAATTGCATAATATTTAAAGAATGAAAAATGGTTTATATTCTGTACCAAGCAATACCCAAAGCTCAAGCACAAATGATAAGGTAATTATAAGGGGTCTTCCTCCCCTAAATTGAGTTGCCAATCATCACTCAATGTATAATAAGAATGAGAATGGAGTTGTATAGAAACTACAACCATGCTAAAAAGCAAACTTCTTTCAAACGTATTGGATGAAACCTGTTTCAACATAGTGCATTTTCCTATTTGGGAAGAAGTGTGAACACCATCAAGTCCATCATATTGAATTGGAGAATGATATGATATCTAACTAAGACTCTTTCTTTAATGGGATAACCACAATGCTACTGGTTACCTACTCTTTTTTTTCTCTCTCTCTCTTTTCTAGGTAATAGCATTGACCAAAAAAGCTTGAATTTTTGTTTATGATCCGCTACTGTGAGCAAAACCGATGTTTGAAACAAGTGCTGCAAAGTTGTGGCCCTGATCTAAAGCTCCCCGCGGTTCTTGATATAATCTTCTAAAGATTCGCTCCTCATAAACGTAATCAAAATGATATCCTCAAATGATCACCATAATTCACAATTGTACAAATGCGAGAATTGAATGCTGTTTCTTCCATTTCCAGTATAAACTACTAAACGATACGATTTATTACTAATGATTTAAAATGCGATTTCAATTTCATCCAACATTCCTGCAATATCCACAGCAGCATTACCGATTCTGAACAATGCAACGCGGAGAGAGATTCGGGAGGAAAATGCGGCGTTTATTTCGCAATCGTTGAGCGAGAGGGAATGGAGAGGAAAGCTAACCTGAATCATAATCGGCGGGAGATAAGTATGATGCGATGAAACGCTGCTGCTCGCTCCTCTACTACAAACTACAGAGTGGAGGAGGAGAGTGGGGAGTGAGAGTGATGGCGCTTTCACAGGGGAGCAGTTTTATACCGCGGAATCCAAATGAGTTATAGGGAGGAGTGTTGTAATGTGGTTTTGGAGTCCGGTGCGGTGACGCGTGGAGTGCACTTGGGCATTGTTGATTACGAGGACCGGCCGGCTCACTCCACGTTTTCACGTAACGGCTTTCCGCTCATTCCCTACGGTTCAGTTCCGCTCAACACTGGAACCAACCAGGCCATCCTTTCCATCTAATCTGTTTGGTTGGAAGGAATGAATTAGATAGAAATAAATTGTAATCCTGTGAGTATAAAGACTATAATGTATTTATATTAGAGTTAATTCCAACAATAGTCCCCCGAGTATGATGATTTTCCACAATTAGTCCTTGACTTTTAATTTGGACAATTTAACCCTCTGACTATTGAAATCTTTTCAATTGTGGTCCTTCCGTCAAATCCTAGTTAAGTGAACATTAAATTGAGAAGTAAAAGCGTCATTTCCCCTAATATTTCATCTTCATTCTCGTTTCAGTTTTTCGAACTGCTGATTTCCCCTTCTGTCCTCGTAAAATTTGGATATTCCGACGAGTCAATGATCATTCACGAACCACCACCCACTCACCCAGCCGCCATCTGATCCCTCCCAATCTGAACTTATTCCCAAAGCTAATTTCCCGATGCTCTCCTTTGCCGAGAAGCTAACGGTTTCTCCGTAATCCTCGGTATCGGAATCGGAGTCCGAGTTGAACCAGTCCAGCACTCAGCAGGGAGAGGGGAAGGCGACAACGGCGAGGGAATCTGGCGGAGGGAACAGTGAAACGAATGGGTGGGGTAGCAACTGATCGGAGCTTCATCGCTTCTTCAAATCTCGTTGCAGGCACTTGGATAGGAAATCGCGGCATAATTCCGATGACTGAGTTGGGAATTAAAGCAACTCGTTGGAGTAACGGATTCGGCAGAGTGTATCGGCGGCGGCGGCGGCGCAGTCCTCCCACGGTCCTGGCTATGAAACAACTAGATAGGACGGGTACACAAGGAAGCTGAGCAAGGAGTTCTCTGTCGAAGTTCTAACGCTAACTCTCCTTAACCACCCCAATCTGGTAAATCTAATCGGGTATTGCGTCAATGGAGAACAGAGACTTTTGGTGTATGAATACTTGCCTATGGGTTCTCTTACAGAACATTTGCTCGGTAATGAGTACTATTTTTTTCTTTCACTACCTATATATTAACTAATTGAGTACTTAATACACCTGCTCCATTACTAATGCAGGCCTTGTTTTTTTAAAAAAATTATTTTCGAAAATACAAATTTCTTCTTCCTTGGACAATTGGTTGGGAGTTTCACACTTTCACCCATAACTCTTGTTTAAATAACTTTCTTTTTTTTTTTGGATTTTTCTCTGTGTTTTCTTTGGTTCTGCATATGTACTGTTGATGAGTTAGGGGTGGGCTTTCTTGATTTAGCATAATTTACAAAACACAAAAAAAGTTTTGAGCTTTGGCTGCTTAAAAATTTTCATGTTTCATTTGTGTAGTGTTTATACAAGGTCAAAGTTGAGAGCTTTATGCATTTTTGGTTGGGTTTTCGTGTTTTTAGTTAGAATTTGATGAGTATCTGAATCAAAGAACAACTCTGGGCTTTCGAGTTTCCGGCGGCGTTCGTCGGAGTTCTTATGTGAACTAGAGTTTTCTGACAATATGTTTCGAGTTCAGTGATAATGTTTTTGTATCTTATTCGAGTTGAGATACATAGTGAGAGGAGAGGTTTGTGAATGCAAAAAAAATGTTGTATGTTTCGCATGGCGCAAGAACTCGGAGCTCGTTGGAAGAAATGCTGGAAGCTCTGCAGCGAGAGACGAGAAACCAAAGAACTTGCCGCCGGAGCTGCCGTGGCCAACCCCCCTATGATCTATTGTAATTTGAGTTCCAGAAACATCTAATTGGATGAAGACTTTAATCCTAAACTATTTGACTATGGTCTTGCCAAGCTCACGAATGGGGGAGGAAATACAGCAACGACATGGGAATGAAGATGAAATATTAGGAGAAATGACGCTTTTACCCCTCAATTTAATGTTCACTTAACTAGGATTTGACGGAAGGATCACAATTGGAAAGATTTTAATAGTCAGAGGGTTAAATTGTCCAAATTAAAAGTCGAGGACTAATTATGGAAAATCACCATACTCGAGGGACCATTGCTGGAATTAACTCATTTATATTATATAATAATCATAATTTACAAATACAAATCTAATAAGAGATAATAAAATTAGACTTTTAACGAAGAAAAAAATGTTGGTGTAATCGTTTGTTAAAATAAATAGTTAATATTATTTTAATTTTATTATTTTTTATATTTTACTCTTTATTATATCATTTACTTTTCTTAAATAGTAAATACATTTGTATTCTGTGAGTGTAAACTTTAGTAATGAAATATTTCGTTAACTATTTATTATTTTTAACTTACTCATTGATTTTCATAAGGAATGTTAAGTTTGAACACATCCCAATCAAAATTTACATAATTATTAAATATATACTATGAATATGTTAGAGTGTATTAAAAAATATAATATAAAATTTAACATAAACTTTGGTCAATTAATTAGAATCACGAATTGACATTGATGAAATAGTACACCTAATTTACAGTATATATTCAACACACATGAAAAAATTATGCTTATTATCATTGTCTTTTTGAGGAAAGAGGATTTTGTTGTGTTTTTTAATGTGCATTGCGCCAAGGCTGTACTAAAATTGCAGTGAATCACAACAAGGGACTAGATCAAATCAAAAATTCATTTATGGTGGATGTGGCAACAAGAGGAAGCATGGATCATGCTAATTAATAGGGTTTTGTTTTGCAAAAACTATGCTTATGATATTATCCCGTGATGGTGCTTCCCTCTAAAATTACTATTGCACCACTTAATACAACATTTCCGCCATAGGTCATAGTTATGCATTTTTGAAATATTTACTTTTATAAAAATTTTGTTAATCTTGCATTGATATACGCCAGGATATGATACTTTGATAAATCTGAAATACTAATTTAAAAATACACATCAGGCATCAGATTATTCGCGTAATGCGCATGTGATAGCTAGTAATAATAATAAGGGTAAACCATAGAATTACAATTCTCCAAAGTGTGAAATTGCACATGAAATTACAATTCCATGGAGTTTAATAGGAATGGAATTACTATTCCATCCTACCAAACACCCCATTGGTTCAATTGTTCTTACATTTCAAAATGAATAGTGAAAGAATTCCTTTCATACTACTCCAACTAAAACTCAAATTCGAAAAGTATTTAAAATGTCCGCAATAATAAACCTCTAAACATTAAAAATCAATGGCTGGGTTTTATAGCGCATTCTACACTTTATAACCATACACCATTTATACTAGGACTGGAAAGCAAATAACAAATGCAACATTTCAGCCTAATTACCCAGATGTTAAGACATTCAAAACAATCTTAATCACCTGGGGGAGAGAGATGGGCAATTGTTATTCCATGGAACTAGTTAATAAATTTGTAATTAACATGTACCTTCAATTTATAAGCAAGGTGAACATTGGTCCATAATATAAGCACACCCCATTTGAGGGGCCTTCAAAACTGAACATGGTTTAAAAAACAGCTTGGGTATGACTAGCACTAGAGGTTTCATGACTAGGCCTACTAACTGATGGTTTCATGGTTGATTTGTTAAGTCTTAGGAAGGATCTTCAGTTGATTAGGGAGAAAAATGTAGCACCCGGGACAATTTCCTACAGATTTGTTGAGTTCGCTACATCGCACTAGACTTTTCTTACAATTGTACATAGTTTCCTTAAGTTTGTAAGATTTTTCAGATGTGCAAAAAAACAGTAATACATCTGTAAGGAATCCAGAATTTCAAGAGAAATTGAGATTGCAAAGGTCACAAAATCATGCTGCTTCTTCAGTTTCCTTTGAATTTGCATTGGTTGCCAAGCCTCGAATCTTTACATCATAATAAACTTCTTCCACTTTTCTAAGGTCATATTTCATTCCTGTCACAAGTCAAACCGTTTATGATCAGCTTTCTATTCATTTATTAGAACGAGAGGCCATCTTACATAATAAGTTATTCAGATTTCAAATAGGTAGGGGTTGCAAGTCAGGAAGGGGTGGGAAAGATAAAATTCCATTAATAACATTGAAATAAAATGATTTTTAAAATGCTCCAATCGAGGAATGAGCGAGATAATGTAACTAAAACAACAAACTAAAACCATACCATCAAACTTTTTACGCAAGAAATCATTTCGAAGATTAAGCATGCGGAATGCAGCATGAAGATCTGTCATGAATTTTAGAACCTGGCGGGGGCAATCATAATCCCCAGCTGTCACTTTGTTCACCACATACCTAGGCTGCAAATTCCAAATAAAATTATCATTCTTCCAGCACAAAAACATAACATGAACTCATATAGTCCAATTATCCTACATTCCTATACACAAGCCAGAAAGAGGAGTGTTTAATATAATTATGCCTGAGAATAATTTGGCTCAATTTAGCCACAAGCACTACTGCAGAATGAACTTCAAATTCAAAAACATACAATGAACTCATATACACAAGCCAGAAAGAGTGTTTAATGTAATTATGCCTGAGAATATTCTGGCTCAATTTAGACACAAGCACTACAGCTGAGTGAACTTCAAATTCACATAAGAATGCCAAGAAACTAAACATTAATATTGTCATTTCAAGTTGCTTTCTTGAGGAACATGTGCCGATGGAAACAGTCTCAGCATACCAAATTTCAAGCAAAAACCCATCCTCAAACTATGTCCTAAACATGAAAAATAAGCAGCATAAATACAAAGACAAATGTTCTTACCAACTCATTAGACATGAAACAAATCCCTGACACAAAAATAAAAAATGTTGTTAGTATAAGATCCTCAAATACAGAACACTGAAAAAATTGATCATAAATAACTAATGCACAATTTACATATGAACTATTCATAAATCCTAATCTTGTGTAATGACAGGGAAAAAATGACCACCCTCCCCCAAAAGTGTTTCCAACATCACATTAGATTTTCAGGAAAGGTTAAGTCACTCACCAATAAGGTAATCTTCAGTATCAAGTCCAAAATCTGAAGCATTTACTGCAATACAAATAAGTATATTAGGGTAAGACCAAAGGGAACCAACAATGGCAAGAAGGAAAGACTCGAGGCATCCCAATATCTCCAAAAGAATCATGGAAATTGAAAGAATTACAGGCATGATCTAACCATAACTCCCAACAAAGGTTCAACAAGTCACAAGCTTAATATGCTAACACTAAATAACTTATTTGAACAGAAGAATAAAAGAAAACATACAGCCCAATTTTTCCTCAACTTCATTATGCAGGAGAAGAGTCCCTGTCTCCAGCCAATGCATAAATGCCAGCAATGACACCACAGTCTGTGTCTCACTCCTCCAAAGACCATTATACCTATCCATCAATAATGTCAATCAGTAAATCAGTAGGCAAACAAATTACAAATGGTGAGAAAAGAGACACTTGCAATTGCTACTAACCTATAATACTGTCCAGGGCATTCCCGCAGAATTTCTGAAATCTTGGTATACAGTTCCTTCAGCACCCCGATATGAACACTTGCTTTCTCTAAGACCTCTAATTAATTGCATAAACATACTACATTTAATTACTTCACAAGTATTTCCGGAAGATGAATGGGATTTGTATACATATTGTTTATCTATGTTTGAAATTTAAGAAATGCAATTCTCACCAAAACAAACACATGCAAAATTTCCAATACAGGCTTACAAAATAAAGGCAGAGAAACAAGTTTATATACCGGGAACGGGGCGAGACTGATGAATGAGGAGGAGGCTAGAGTGAATGAGCCGAGTAGTGGACTCCATCTCCATAGCCACAGCTCTAATTCGATCGTGTAAGCTCGAAGAATCCAGCAAATTCTTCCGGAATTCCTCGAACTGCTTCTCCAGCTTCTCTGAAGAATGGGAGAGAGGCGCGTCGAGATCACCGGCCGCCATTGAAGTGCAGTATGAAACCGAAACGAGGACGTTGCAAAGAGGGACTGAGAAATTGCGAGCGGGAATGAGAGTGGGAGGGAAGGTGGGTTTAGGGTTTAAGGCGGTGCGAGGGAGTAGAGAAATGGCGTTCCGGAACACCGATTTCATCTTGGTATGCCCGACTTTGTGGTACAATATTTGTACGTACAAAATTTTGAAAATGATAAAATTTAGAAGGTTGTGTTGCTTGTGTAGTTGTGTTTCTTTTTTTTTTTTGAAAAACTTGTTATTGTGTATAATTTTGAGAGCTATAATATACTCTTTATCTTTCTTCTTTTATTTATTTTGTTTATTATTTATTGATGTAATTAATTCTTTTTTATTTGTTTATTTTTTAGTATTTTCTTATATTTTTTTATTTTAGATTATTATATTTATTAATAATTTTTTTAAAAAAATATATTTTTAATCCCTCAATTGTTTTTTTGGAATAATGATAAAATTGGTCATTCAACTACACAACAAATTGCAATTGAGTCATTCAACTAAAATTTAACTCTATTCAAAATTTACTTAGTAAATGAGTATTTTCAAGTTTTATTATCTTTATATATATATATATATATATATATATATATATATATATATATATATATATATATAATTTGTTCAACTTTGATATTTTATCTCAAAGATAGAGAATTGACAATGTTCTTCCCTAAAAAAAAATTTCTTTAATAGTGTACATCGTCCTTATTTTTCTTACGTGAACCTATTAAAAAATGTTTATTTTACAAATGAAATACCGAGACTAAAGAAGATTATAATTTTAAAAAAAAAAAGTACTAAAATCTCATGCATTAACTAAATTTAATAATTTTGTGTTATGAAAGTTTTTTTTTTTTTTTTTTTTGAGTACTTTTGACCCTATTACATGTAGTATTTGTCAGTGTTGTAAAAATCGCGCCTAACGACTTTTTCAACATTGGATTTGTTCATCTCCCACTTGGGAGAATCATTTCATATCGCTTGACCACAAGAAATTTTGTGTCATGAGAGTTATGTTGGATATACGTGTTGAAACACGTCTTGGAACAATGTCAAAGCGGAACTAGAAATCCGAATGTAAAGTTGGAGAAGATAGCTAATGTAAGAAGCTGACTGTACCGTGTTCCTGGAACACTACCTTAAAATTAAAGTGTTAATTTTCTGGTGACGGCACCGACACGCTTTTGACTAGCAAACACAGATTATATTATGTATATTATGCTCAGACAAAGAATAGAAGATGAAGAGGAAGGAAGCTTTCTGGTTTTCTGTGTGTCTCATTCGAACAGGAGAATGGGATTTTATATTGAGAAAGCTCAAGTAATCCTTCCATATACACCACACATGCATGCGCTATAATAGGAAAAATAGCCTTCAGATGAATGGTTTTCCAACAAGTTAAAACTACAACTTTTTTAAAGAGTTAGGAGAGTATATTGTAACGGTAAAATATTAAAGATCGGACTAAAATAACTATCAAAGAATAATTGAAGCACTAAAAATGTATTTTCATAATTTTAATTTAAGTTCTAAATAAAATAAAATAAAATAAAAAACACCCTACCTACTACAATATTTTTTCAATAAAACAGTATATAATATAAAAAACATATAGTAGTGTTACATTTTCGAAATATAATACAAATCTTGCTTGGTATTGCAGAATTGTTCATATCATTGAACCAAATTTAATAATAAATACAACAATTTCTAGTTGAAACTTGAGAAATCTAAATATTGTATGATACAAAATTTACAGTACCTCATGGTACTATAGCATGTATTGTGGGCAATGAAATTACATCTCTCTCGTTTCGTTAAAAGTAGAATGAGAGAATATAATTTCACCCAAAATATTGTACAATGGCATTGCATGCATGCATGCAGTAAAATATAGTGAAGGAAACTAGTGTTTTCCTAGAGAAATTAAGCAGAGGTAAGCTACCAATCGACTAAGTACGCCAGTGAGTAGGAGCAGAGCTAAGCATTGCCTGAAGTCATGAACATCAAAGCCTAGTTTCAATAGCGCCCCACAGCGAGTTATCAGCCAAACACCGGAGAATCTGAACACAAACCATAATCAAAATGGAAGCTCATATCATAGCTAGTTAAGGGTGGAAATTAAATAGCTACCTGTCAGCATTTGCAGTGACAAAGGCTTCTAAAGCCCACTTTGGATAACAGAACTTTGCTACATACTTCCCAATTCTATCGTCTGGTTCCTGGTTCGCGATGAGAGTCAGAACGACAGGAACAAGAACACACCACTGCATGTGTAAGGTGGCAGGCAGGCATACATGAGTTTTCGATATACATATATGTTGCCATGTTGGCTAGAATATGAAGGGAGTATATGTACCAGTTGTGCAGGACCGGGTTGAAAGCAGACAGCAAATACATAGGCCATTCCAGAAACACAGTACACGAGACACAAGAAAACAATGTAATTCTCTGCAAAGGTGGATCTGGGATTGTTGAAGAAATAGAACATTGAAAGGAAAACCAAGGGCTTTATGATAGTATTGAAACAGTCCAGAACATCCTTTGACATAAAATATGCTAGACTGCTCATGCCACTCTCTCTCTCTCTCCAGTATTCTAACTTGTCTGCGGTAAAGGATCTCAGAGCTGCAATCTTACATAGAAGTGCTGCAAATAAGAAACATGGCTGAAGAATGAGGAATTGTTATATATGCAACATGCCTTAACTCTACTATATATGTTTTGTTAGTTCCCACTTACACACTGCAATCACGCTATACATGTAGCCAAAATATCCAAATGTGTCGCCCTTTGTCTTTGAAAGAGTTCCTAAGCATGCTCCAGCTACCAAAAGGATCATATAATCTGCTGCGTGTACTTTAGCTTCTCGCAATCGCTGCTTTATTACCCTGCACATAAAAATTAAAATTGCAAATTAAATCATTTTCTTCTGAGCTAGAAACCATCTATGCAGACAGGCAAAGTTTCAGATGATTGACTTTATAAATAATATAACAGATAGTACAGGGATTTAAAATCAATACCTTCCAATGTAGTACCTAAACTGGCGGGCCACACCAGGTGTGATTCGATTAGATAAGTCCTGGGATGCCAAGAAGTTGGGATTCGAAGCATCTCGCTTCTCAGGCACCGCTTCTGCTACAGCAGGTGTATCATCATCCTTTGATGATGCTTCCTTGTCACATAAATGCATCATGTCTGGGGGCACAGGGTACCCATTATAAAGCATCCATCGAACAGGAAGCTGCTCAATGTTCACGCCTTCAGGTGGTTTCTCAATTCCCTCAAGGATGTCAATGAAGTGATCTGGAGGATTTACACGCTCTGGTACAACGATTCCAAGGCCTTTAAAATAGTCTTCTACTTTCTTCACAGATCCAATGTACACAATAAGACCACCTTTGGCCAGAAGTACCAAGTCATCAAACATCTTGTACAGCGTGTAGCTGAATTAGAGAAAGATCATGACAACAATCAAATTGTCTGAACAATGATTCAATAAACTGAATTCTGTATGATTCATTAAAAATAATATTTATCTATTGATGGAGATTTTGTTTTATCAGCATTCACTTGTATTTTAAATGATGATACCCAATGCACCACTTTCATGTGGCTTAAAGAGCATATATTTTTTGAAACTTCAGTAGAAATTAACAGAAATAATGTCAAATCGTGTATAAGTATCTTATTTGGAGATCTAAAGAAATTGATTACTTGACTTTTAGTGAAAAGAATAGTTGCAAGTTGACTGTTTATTGCATTTAAATACCAACCTTGGTTGGTGAAGAACCATGCAGATGTTTACCCCTTCAAGAGCTTCACGTCTAAGAGCTTTAAGAAGTAAATTGGAAGATGCACTGTCTAAACCAGATGTAGGCTCATCCAAGATTAGCAGTGAAGGTTCCATAACCATTTCCATCCCAACATTTACTCGTTTCTTCTGGCCACCTGAGATTCCACGCATCTCAACAGTCCCAACCAATGAATCCCTCACCCCCTGCAGGCCTAGTGATTCAATGACCCTTTCAATGATAAGGACCTTATCAGCCTTTGGCATGTCTGCAGCTAGCCTTAATGGTGATGTAGATGGATTGTCCAATATAAGATGGATAAAACAGTCAGTATACGATATGAATTTTGAACATAATAAACAAGGAAGTATAGAGTATATAGACATTGCAATTCTATCCTTTAAAATTCAAACAAAATAAGGAGCCAAGTCATGTAATTGGTATTGAATATTATAAAGTTTCACAATCAGCCATTGATATTTTGTCATGCTTTATAAAATAGTTCATTAGTGTAGACAAAGCTATCTAAGATAGAAACTTACCCAAAAAAAAATCATTTTTCCTTACCTGGGAAAACACAGAAAAATCCTTACCTTTTCTCTCTATCTACTGATAATTTCAATTCCAAAGGGGTTAATAAATTGATTTTCCTAATGAATCCAAAGAATATTAAATGCATATTTGAAGTGTATCAACCTTACTGCAAACAAACTAAAAAAAAATACTATTCAACCTGATTTCTTAATATAAATTTAAGCCTGTCTATACCAACATGAGGAGCCTCCTCAATTAAAAGTAGATTTTTTATTTCTTTTTCCCAGATAGATCAAAAATTAACTGTTGCTAAGTACCTGCATCGTGCATTGAAGCGAAGGTTCTCTTCCACAGTCAAGTTCCCATGGACAATATCATCTTGGGCTACAAAACCGATAATTTTCCTGTAACACTGAATGGATACATCCTTTCCATTTATGAGAATTGCGCCTTCTACTGAGCATCCAGTTATCTTTCCTAGCACAGCAGTAAGAAATGTTGTCTTCCCTGCTCCTGATGGGCCCATGACAGCAGAGATTCGACCTGGCATCAATTTTCCTGTAACACTTCTCATCAAATGTCTGTGCTTCTTTTTGAGAGTTATTGTTAGATCTTTGAAGGCAATCTCAAGTGTGGGCCTAGTCTTGATATCTTCATGTGTGGCCATTGAAATTAATCCTGAGAAGGTCATGTTTTGCTGTACCTGCTCCAAAGCTTTCTCTTTCTCAATTTGACCATATGCATACTTAAATATTTGGGTACGACTATGCAATTGTTTAGCCTTAACCGCTTGCTTTTTAGCCTTCTTATCACCAATCGGCACATTGAAGCCTTCTTGATTTTCTGGATCTTTTTCAATTGACTCCATTATTTCGGTAAGCTTGTTTGGATCCTTTTTCTTTTCTGATGAAGGGTCTTTAGGTGGTAATGATGAGTCCGGCTGGTCTGATTGATTTCCATTATTTTGCTTTGAGACTGCGCGTGAGGTCTGTCGTAATGAACCAAAACCCCCAGATTTGGCAACTTCTTTTGCAGACTTCCACCTTTCCCTTGCCTGGGCAGTTTCTCTGGCATGTTTTGCTGCAGCTTCCCTGGACTTAGCCATTCTTGCATACCGAGTTGTTATGACTTGATCAGAGAAATTATAGAAGATTATGAGTATAAAAGTCAAAGCACCCTACATGTTCAAAGAAGAAGAGAAAGAAAAATCAGATTCTGTCTATAGCAGTTGCAACTGCAAATTTTTATCTGTGCATCTTAACACTAGTAGAATCTACTTGCAGATTGCACTAAGATTTTTATAGTACATAACCCTTGATCTCTGTAAACTATAAGATCAATGAAGTGATACTTGAGAGATTTATCTTATTTGGTGTTAGATAGGAAACATAAATTACACATTGGGAAAAAAAAAAAAAAAAAAAAAAAAAGAGAGGAATATAAGCCAAGACAACCGCAAGAAAAAGATCATTATTAGCTCAAAAAAGATGAGCTCATAAGCTCATAACAAGGAAATTTTCTTTTTATTCCAATAAAGAAAAAACCACTTACAATTAACATGAACCCAAAAGCATGCAAGTTTTGTATCTCTGATTTTGGATTGCATGTACTCAACTTGAAGCATGCTGCAAAATTTTGTTCAAAAGGTTAATTCCAAAGAAAGGTATTTATCTACAGGTCTATACAAATAGATTCAAAGTCATATTGTTTGTTTGAAGAGGATAAAGTGCAACAGGGATCACCAAGCTAGAAAGGATGCAATAACTGAAATGGCTGGAGTATATCACTCACAACTGCTCCAGATATTGCATAGAAAATGAACTCCCTAGGTTGGGAATGAGCTATATGTTTCTAGCTACACATTGAACTTTTCATGAGTTCAATTACAGGCCAGGCTTTCACTTGATATCTAAAGATTTACTGATTAATGCCATAATCAAACTAAAGAGTATGTTCAAGATTTTTTTAATTTTTTTTTTGAATCCTCTTTAAGGGTGGGCTATTCTTTTTCCAGACAAGCAACTTCTGTTACTGTTTCTGATCCTTTCACTTTTACCTCTTGCTATATGTCTCTTCCTTGCTATGTACTGAAGGATGAAGCGGAAACATTCAGTTAACTAAATTGTTATAATTTATTAATTGTTGCTTGTTCATAAACTAGATCCACTATCTCATTTCTCGGCACTTTTTATCCCTTTTGATGCACCTGAAAGGGAAAGTATGGCTGCACTAGTACTTTTTGCATGCTACACCATAGAAGGTGAGAGTTTGTGTACTTGCATTTCAAAGTAGACATATTTCGTGTTTGTGTGACTGTGCGAGGACATATGTTTTTGGTACCAAAGTTCTTTATATATCTATTATCTCTTGAAAGTTTTGGTAAACCAAAAAATGATGATCATAAGTATACTTTCTTGGTGACAAAAAATTGTAAAGGTAAATGCAAAGATTTAGGAATTTACCACTCTAAAGCTAAACAGATAAACAAGCTAAGTAAAAGTTTTAAAAAATAAAGATTGACTGTAACAGAAATTTTCAGCAATTTGGATATTGATGAGAACTAACCTTTTGGCTTTATAGAACCCTTCATGCAGTAATGCCTGAAGGTGAGTTAAGTAGATCATCAGTGAGTTCATAACCAATCATCAATAACAAATAGAATTCAGTGAGTTTAGAAAACGTCATGTTAGGATTTAGCTAGAGGGTAATGCAACTTGTTAACACAAATGCACAATACTGGGGAGTAAACGTCAATACCCTTTAGAGCAAGGAATCTTTTGGGTATTAGAGGGACAATAAGATCCTGCTGAACAGAATACCCCCTCATTACTGGCGTCACCAGCCCATATATCAGCTCCGCCACAGGTATGGTTTAACACGCCAGGGGGTATTTGGTAATGATACCTGAATTTTATTTACCAAAACATGTGTTAACTGATCATGTATGCAGTAGAAGAAACTGTAATGGACTAACTGTAATTGACTAAATAAACCTTAAATTAATTCTAACTGTAACTTACGGATCACAAACACCAGTTGCTTTGTTGAGTGTGGCAAGAGGGCAGTAAGAACCTCTGGGGCAAGCTATAACAAGACAAAAAAATCATGCAAACTAGTAATGAATTCCTACACTCAACAAGTTTTGCATAATTACTGAAAATTTTAGCTTTAGAACTAAAAGAAACTGCAAATCAAGAAAAGCCAGAAGTAGTGGAATTAAAACAAAAAGAAAATTCCGAAATTGCAGGATCAGATCATTTCTGCAGACTGAGGACAATGGATGCAAGTCAACTTGATACTGCCTTGTGATTTTAATAAGTGTCACTGATTCATATCTATTAAATGGCAAAGACATAACTATCTTGTTTAAATGTTGGTTTTCAATATGTGTAAGTGCATACATTGTTTTGCCATTATCTTCCCTGCTGTACTTTGTCAGCTTGCAATATGCATAATACATCTCATTTATTCATGATTTATGAGCCTTAACACAAGAGACTTCTACCAAGTTAAAGTATTACAAACTAGAGTAAAAATGGCTGCTTTTCAATACAAAGATTATATCCTAATTTTCAGGAGATTTAGCTAGTATTCTTTAGGTCCTTAAATTCACTCAACAAAAACAATGAAGCTAACTTGTATAAAGCAAGTCCTGAGATAGAAAACCCAACACATTATCACTAGTTACTGGGAGCAAACAATTTTAATGTATTTTACTCATATAAATACAAGTGTTTAGATAAACTTACGTATCATGCAAGTGAGACCTTTTGGGCAAAAAAAACCCTCACAACAAGGCTGACTATCAAGAGTTCGATCAGGGATATCCTTTGAGTTTCTAAGATCCACCTTTACACCCAAAGGAATACTGCAAGACCATCCAGGTTCACATCCAGGAACCCATGAGGTCAAATTACAGTTTGAGTTGGGTTTTAAGTATTGAACATCGGCTGATTTTGTATCCAAAAAAGAAGTGAAGTAAAACTTTATCTCTGCAGCGTTACATAGTCGTTGTCTCAAATCTGTCAACATGACCAACCTAATGTTAAATACTATGCGAGATGGAGAAGTAAGGCAGAGTTGAGTGTCTAAAGAGCTTCTATGCTGAGCTATACAAGTAAAAATAATGGAACTGGTCACTTTTGGCTTCTCTTACAAACATAATTTCCTTTTCAAGTTTGTTTCTTAGTTCATACATTTATATTCATGACTGAAGTCTATTTTCAGTTCAAAATGCAGTTGAGATGACAGAAGAACATCCAAATTATTTACAGGGCATAGGGCCAATACGTATAGCATCTAAAATGGCATGGTGTTCCTTGAACATTTGCAGCAAAAATTTTCTGAAAGAAAAGGTTCATTTATAAAAATTGGTAATGGCAAAAACAGACATTCTAAATGCTTTTCTCCAGAGCAGCCATGAATGTAATTATGGTACTAACATTGATCTTTCTTAAGCCTCCCAATTTAATGCATGATCAACCTATGCCACTACATTGTCCCCTAGAAATGAATAGTTGAATACCTCTTCTCTCTTTATAACAGTTACTCAGAAAATCCAAATTGTTGGAAAAATTGAAGGCTGCATTCACATCAGCATCTCTGCAATCAAATAGAAGAAATGGATCATGAAAATGCAGAGTACTACTTAATCATAAAAGGAGATACATATATATAGACCACCTGAGATAATATATACTTACACATCCTTAATGCAATATCCCATCTCCTGGTTTATTTCTTTGTTATAAACCTTTGTGAGGTTTGAAAATTGGGTATAGATGAGAGATGAAACAATTGGTGCAGCAGCACCTTGATTGCCTTTGGGGGCATCACTAACATCATCCTCAGATTCATCCCCATCATCACACCAAGCAGGCCATGAGGACCCCAAAACAAGAATCAGAAACAACAAAAATGGAACGGAAATCCTCGTTCCACTCATTTCAACCATTTCATATCATAACTCAGTACTAAGGAAAAAAAATATATCTAAACCTAGCTTTTACCCACCAAAGCGTCTAGGATTGCTAGTTATGTTTTTTCCTTGTTCAAATCAAAGAAACTAGCAATGCTCAAGTCAAAATCTGAAAATTAAAACGAAAATTCTATGCACATATACTACAACCTCCAAGCCTCCAGAAAAAAATGATCGGTGAGATGGAAAAGAAAAAGATTGGTGATTTGTTATGTAGGAAGCTGGAGATTTTGAGGAGGGAGACAAAGGAAGAACAGAGTTCTTGGTAAAGCGCTTGGCTTCATGCATGGATGAGGAGAAATGTATGTCTAGGGTTTGGGAGGAGGTCCATGGTTTCTGGAGCAAGAAATGGCGGGGAGAGATTGATGGCTAACTTTGAGGTAGAGAAATAAATGATTTCTTGCCTCATGGAAATGTCGTCCAATGCATGAAATGTTAGGACTGAAAGTCTCAACTCCTTAATCAAGGAGAGGTCGTTGGGTAAATTTTACGAACACGTTGACCTCATTCCCTTAAAAAACAATAAATAAATAAACTTTTAAAATGTAAGAATTTAAAAAAAAAAAAAAAAAAACAAAAACAAAAACAATTTAGTGGAACATGATTATGGTACTTTAAAAAGATTATGAGTTCAAATATTGTCAACATCCTCTCAATTTTAAAAGTGACTCTCATTTGAGACGGATCATGTCAATATGAAATGTAATACTTATATTGAGAAATATAATGTTAATCAATAATAAAGTATATGTTACTTATAAGGAAAATTGTAACACTTTTGAAAAAAATGTAATGCTTTTAAAATCAAAATATACAAATATTACATTTTTGTTCAAAAGTATTACTATTTTTCTTATAAGTATTCCGTAATAAACACTTTATTCTGGATTAGTATTACATTTTTAGTATAAGTATTATGTTTTCACTTTGATCTGATCCGTCTCACAGACAATGATTCGTGAGATGGTCTCACACAAGTTTTTGCTCAATCTTAATTATTTCACTTATTTGTCTAAGTGATGAAAATGTTGGTGGTGAATAAATCGATGTACCATATATATATATATATATATATATATATATATATATATATATATATATATATATATATATATATATATATATATAGCGGCAAGATAGTTTTCAAACATTAGGTTATAAACCCAACGAAAACAAGGAGATATAAAATGGATCATGACCTTAAGTTTGAGCACTCAGAAAAAAGGACCGGCGAACTAGAACAACAGCGAGCACTTTGTTCCTTTTATGGAAGTGTTGGCAAAATTTTCTTGTAGGAAAACGATTTTGAGAATTCAAAATCAGCAACTCAACAATTATGTCTTGCACCAAGTATTTATAGGAGAATGATGAGTTAATAGCATTAATAATGACTTTAACATCTGAAATAATTTCAGATATTTAACCCTCCCTAGCAACTTTAATCTGAAATTTAACACAACCATTACGACCGTTAATTCTAAACAAATAAATTAGAATTAATTCGAAATTAATTCCTAAGAATCATAATTAACACTTCCAATATCGAAGAGTAGTGAACCACATTGAATAGTCAACAGTCCGAATGGTGACTATTCATTCAATGTCCCGAATGGTAAAACAGAGTTCAAATCAGCAGCTCAACAATTATGCCCAACACAAGTATTTATAAGAAAATGAGGAGTCAATAGCATTAATAATGACATTAACATTTGAAATAATTTCAGATATGTATCCCCCCCCCCCCTCCCCCACCCCCTCAAAACAACACTTTAATATGAAATTTAACATAGCCGTTACAACCGTTAATTCAAAAAAAAAATTGAATTAATTCCTACAAATCAGAAGTAGCACTTTCAGTACCGAAGAGTAGTGAACCACATTGAATAGTCAACAGTTTGAATGGTGACTATTCGTTCAACGTTCCGAATGGTAAAAGATAGTTCAAAATTATGTCCAATACCAAGTATTTATAGGAGAATAAGGAGTTAATAGCATTAATAATGACATTAACATATGAAATAATTTCATATATGTAACCTCCCATAACAGCAACTTTAATCTGGAATTTAACACAACAGTTACGACCGTTAATTCTAAAAAATAAAAAATAAATTGAAACTAATTCAAAATTAATTCTTACAAATCAGAATGGTGACTATTCGTTCAAACATTCTGAATGGTAAGTGGCTCTGAATTGGAACAGAGTTTATACAATTTGACATAATTTACCTCGCAAGCCTTTCATATTCATTTTGGGATTTGATTTGCACACCCCTAAGATATTTTAAAAAATTAAATATAACAAAAATATTAATTTAAAAAATCAAGTAGAGAATAAATTTAGCATATATAGTTAAAATAAGTGTAAATTTCAGCTTGTACCCTTCGACTATGAGTCTATGAAGTATTTCTACTTTAGCTCATAAAGTGACGAAGTGATCATCATGTGCCCTACATTAGCCTAACTATTTATGATGTATCAAAAGTCGGTGTAAATGTGTAAAATCATATATCTTCTTCAATAGTGACACTCATATTAGTCATATATATCCATCAAAAAGATAATTTAAATTATTATTTAAAAAATAAATCATAGGTTTTGAGAGTTGGTCCTCATTTCATTAAGGTTCCATTTGAAAAATCTAAATATGACTTTTAATCGAGTTGAGAGAACCGCCAATAGATATTGTTAATCAACTGGAAATCGAGAAAGTTAGGATGTCTCTTAATAGAAGGACATTTGAGCTTAGTGTGTTGTGCGTTCCCCCCTCCTTACTCCCCAAAAAAAGTCCTTTTTAAAAAAAAAAAAAAAAATTTACTATGTTTGGTTATCTATGAAAAATAAAGTCAACAAAAAAATACACATTATAATCTATAATTGAAGGAAAAAAGTTCATTTTAATAGAAAATATCTATCAAGATTTATATTCAAAAGATGTTTTTTACAAATCTCTCTCTCCTTAATTTGTGTCAAACGAGTGACCCGATGCACCACCTACCCAATTACTATTTGGACTAGACCAAATTGGTACAATTAAAATTTGATTCGAGTGAGTGGAGTCAAACAATAAAAAAAAATTAGTCCGAGCTTGACCCATAGCCCACTATTTGAAAAGTTAAGGATTTTTTTTTTTTTTTCTCAATTTCTTTAGTTTGTCATGTTCTGGATGCGCTTGTCCAAACAACAAAAATTTGGGTCTAACCAGCCAATTGTCCATTTTTTTAATTTTATTTTTCAATTATTTATTTAATTTGGATCGGGTTTAGCCCAACATGTAATAATTCAATCGTTATGGTTTGGAACCGTATCCATCTTGCAAGGTGGTACAGTTTCAAACTACTAAATATAATAATAATATAAGAAATATTTTTTTTTTCTTATAAAAAATATAAGAAATATATAATATATATAATATATAATAATAATGATGATACTAGGACTATGTGGTCTAATGGTATTTGGGATGGACTTCCAAGTGGAAGGTTGTGATTTTGAGCCTCAGTGGAGGCGTTATTGGCTCTTTGTGTTTCAGTAGGTTGAGAAAGTATATGAACAGATGATGATGATGAAGAAGACATGCACATGTTAGAAAATTAGATAAACCAAACTCACATGATGAAAGAAATAAGTTCGTTAGAAATATAATCAAAGCATTCATATAAAAAGAGGCTAGTAACTTATTTTGAAACGCTACTTAGGATATCGTTTTAAAATAAGATATTATTTTAATCATTACATATTTTATTAAACATAATTTATAGTTTATTTGTAGTTTAAAATAGTGTATAAATTTTAAAATAGCAAATACCAATTTTGGTCTCACGAGTATTAAAAACGAGAGTTTTAGTTTACATGTTTAATTCCTACTAATTTTTATTCACGACTATTATTTTTGTACTAGTTTTTTTTTTCCACAATTATTGTTTTAGTGCCAAAATTCATCATGTTGGTCACCCATTCGTTTAAGGCATGCCAAAATATGAAATTATTAAGGCTAACTTCGTCCTTTTCAAATTAAGATCTCAATTTGAGAATGAATAAAGAGATTTAAGCCATAAGATAAATCCCAATTCACAGGTCTCCTCCTCAAATTAAGGTAGGATGAGGATGAGAACTGCGAATTGGAATCGATCTTAGGGCTTGAATCCAGGTATTCATGCTCAAATTGGAATTTTAAGTTGAAAAGGATGAAAATACCCTTAAAATTTTAGATTCCGGCATGCCTTAAACAGATGGGTGACCGTCGTGATGAGTTTTGACACTAAAATAATAGTCATTGATGAAAATTGATAGAAATTAAACATATGAACCAAAACTGTCATTTTGCTAATACTCATGCGACCAAAAATAAGTTATACCAAACATAGTCAGATTAATGGATACATATATTCTGATCCTTTTTGATAACCAAACAAATTTAATTAAATTAAATGTTCAATACATTATGGAATAAGAGATAATCAAATTAAATGACTAATTTGAGAACGAACAACACGTGCAAGAATATGAGCGGTTTTGTTCACTGATCGAGACAAAAACTTAATAGATATTGGCTCAAAGTGTCGTTAATAACCACGACATTCGAAAATAACACAACATGCAAATGCAAAGTCCAACGCAGATGTAGTGTCCTTTAGGGTTGAATAAGAAAAGTGATAGAGAAAAGAAGAGATTTAGAGAAGAAGAAGAGTCAATTGCATTACAGTTCGCATAATTCCCCTAAACTCCATTACACCGCTTATTACATTCGTTATTCCACTACTAACTAACTAACTGCCAATTAGGCTTAAACGACGTCGTTGCAGCTTGTTTCTAACCGCCTTCAACTACTTCCTCAAAACGCTGCGTTTGACATCGCATAACTGTCCAACTGCTTATGTTTCATACGACGACGTTTTTCCTCAGCGATCTTGGACCATTACATCACTTCCCCCTCTTCGAGATCCTTGAGCCCAAGGATCAAACTCTGGAAACTGTCGCTTTATGTGGTAGAAGTCCTCCCAAGTGGCAGCATCCTCAGGCAGATTTGCCCATTGCACAAGGATCTGAGTTTTAGCCCTATTATTCATCTTTACAAGCCTCTTATTCAGGACTGCAATTGGTTGAGCCAACACCTCACCCTCCTGGCCTACAAGTGGGGGTTCTAGTTGTGCCTCAGCTTGTCCTCCCACCCTCTTTTCCAGCTGGGAAATGTGGAATACCGGATGAATCTGAGTCCCAGCAGGCAATGCCAATTTATAAGCCACAGCACCTATCTTTTGAGTGACCTGGTAGGGTCCATAGTATTTAGCTGTCAATTTCACATTGGACTTGATTGCCAAGGAGGTTTGTCTGTAAGGTTGAACTTTCAAATATACCCAATCTCCTATTTGTAAAGTTCTTTCAGTCCTTCCTTTATCAGCCTGGTGTTTCATTCTCTGTTGTGCTATTCTTAGGTTGTCTCTGAGGGTTATGAGCATAGTTTCCCTTTCTGCTAACCACCCCTCTGCTCCTGTCCTTTGCCCAGTATCTAAGGCCATCATTGGTGGTTTGTAGCCATACAAGGCTTGGAAGGGAGAACACTGCAGTGATGAGTGGAAGGTGGTGTTGTACCAGTGTTCTGCTAAATACAACCATTTGGACCATGACTTGGGCTTATTAAACACCATACACCTTAGGTAGGTTTCCAGGCATCTGTTGACCCTCTCAGTTTGTCCATCTTATTGGGGGTGATAGGCTGTGGACATACTCAACTTAACTTGCAAATGCTTGAAAATTGACTGCCAAAATCTGCTTAGAAAGACCTTATCCCTATTAGAGACAATATCCTTAGGCAATCCATGCAGCTTGTAGATGTTTTCCATAAAGATTAGGGCCACACTTTCAGCAGAATAGGGGTGTGAGATGGCAATGAAATGGCCATACTTAGTTAACCTATCCACCACCACCAAAATTACATCTTTCCCTTGAGATTTAGGCAGACCTTCAATGAAGTCCATGGATATCCCTTTCCATGCTTGATCAGGGATTGATAGGGGTTGCAGCAACCCAGGTGGGGCTACACTTTCATTTTTACATCTTTGACAAATATCACACCCTCCCACCAATGTTTTTACCTCCTGCTTCATTCTTTTCCAGTAAAACAGATTTCTCAATCTTTGATAAGTTGCTTGCTGACCAGAATGCCCCCCTAGGGGTGAGTCATGCATTTGTAACATCAACTTAGATCTCAGATCCCCTTTACTGCCAATATAAATTCTCTGCTTGTGTCTGATCAATCCCTCAGCCACTGTTGTATTGGGATTGCTGCCAGGGGTGATTAAGTTGGCTGTTAATTGTTCCTGTGCCCATTCATCACCTTCATAGCTTCTGATGACCTCCTCAATCCACTGAGGTCTGATACAAATGACAGTGTGTAGCTCAGCTTTAGGTTCAGGCACAAGATCTAAGTCTCTTCTGGAAAGAGCATCAGCAGCAGAATTGTCACAACCCTTTTTGTACTGGATTGTGTAGGTCAGACCCAAGAGCTTAGACAATCCTCTTTGTTGAGTTGAAGTGGTGATTTTCTGATCTAGGAGGAACCTTAGGCCATGGTGATCAGTCTTAATCACAAAGTGCCTTCCCAACAAATAGGGTCTCCACTTCTCCACAGCATTAACAATGGACATAAACTCCTTCTCATAAATTGATAAGCCCAAGTGTTTATTTCCAAAAGCTTTGCTATAGTAAGCAATGGCCCTTCCTTCTTGGAGTAGCACAGCTCCCATGCCCTTTTGACATGCATCAGCCTCTACTATAAAAAGTTTGCTGAAATCAGGTAAGGCTAGTACAGGAGCTGAGCATAATGCCTGCTTCAATGTATCAAAGGCAAGTTCAGAATCCTTAGTCCATAGGAAGGAATTCTTTTTCAGCATCTGTTTCAAGGGTCTGCTAATTGTGCCATATCCTTGGATAAATCTTCTGTAGTATCCTGTTAAGCCCAAAAACCCCCTCAATCCTTTAATAGACTTGGGCCTAGGCCATTCAGAAACTGCCTGAAGTTTAGAAGGGTCTGTGTGCAACCCTTTCCCAGAGATGATATGGCCTAAGTACTCTACCTCCTGTCTTGCAAAGGAACACTTACTAAGTTTGGCCAACAACTTATGTTCTCTCATCAGCTTCAGAACCTCTCTAAGGTGTTCCCAATGTTTCCCCAATTCTGGACTGTAAATGAGAATGTCATCAAAAAACACCAGCACAAACTCCCTCAGTAGTGGCTTAAAAACATGATTCATTAATGCCTGAAATGTAGCTGGGGCATTAGTAAGGCCAACGGGCATTACCCTAAACTCATAAAGTCCTTGATGAGTTTTAAAAGCAGTCTTGTACTCATCTCCTTCCTTCATTCTCACTTGGTGATAGCCTGCCCTCAAATCCAACTTAGAAAAGTATCTTGACCCAGCCAATTCAGAGAAGAGGTCCTCTACCACAGGAATGGGAAACTTGTTCTTGATGGTGATGTCATTCAGAGCCCTATAGTCCACACAAAACCTCCATGTGTTGTCCTTTTTTGGCACTAATAGGACAGGTGAGGCAAAAGGTGACACACTCTCAGTGATGATTCCAGTGCTTAGCATTTCCCTTACCAATTCCTCAATAGCATTCTTCTGATCAAATGAATATCTGTAAGGTTTAATGTTCACTGGTTGTGATCCTTCTTTCAGGGGAATTGGATGGTCATACATCCTTTTGGGTGGTAGGCTTTTTGGTTCCTCAAATAATTCCTGGAACTCTTGGATTATAGCAGTCAATTCTTCATGTTCACCCTCCTTGCTTATCTTATAACAAGTTCCAGTTCTTTTTTCAGGGTTCATACTGATTGGGCCTTCACACTGAACCAAGAACCCCTGCACCCCATTCTTTTGCCACTTCTTAAAATCTTTCTTGGTCACTGCTTGCAGTCCATTGGCTTTTCTAGTCAGCCCTTTCAGTAATATCTTCTTACCATCTTTACTAAAGGAAATGCCAAGAGGTCTAGTGTGGAGCTGAATAGGAGCATATATGTCTATCCAGTCCATACCTAAAACCATGTCACACCCTCCCAATTTGAGAAGTCTAAAATCCTTTTCAAATTCTTCCCCTTGGATCTGCCAATGTAATTTTCTGCAAACATTATCACATTGCATCTGTTCACCATTTGCAACAGTCACACTTAGTGTTGTGGCTCTCTCTACTAGAATTCTCAGCTGCATAAGAAGTTTGGGGTCCACAAAACTGTGGGTGCTCCCACTATCTACAAGTATCACCACTGCCTGTTTATGAATTGATCCCAACAGCTTAATTGTGTTTAACCCTTCTCCTCCCATCATTGCATAGAGAGATATTTCAGCCTGCTCATTTGTTCCTAGGCTGTTCTGTTCCTCCATAGGGAACTCATCTGCAGCATCCTGGAATTCCCCCTCTTCCATGGCATGAAAAGTAGATCCCTTACACTTGTGGCCTGGCTGCCATGCCTCAAAACACTTGAAACATTTGTTTTGTTCCCTGAGTTGTGCCCTCACCTTCATATTCTCAGGGCCCTTAGCAGTACTACCCAGGGTATTGGAGTTTGAGGAGCTTTGGGAGTTTGTATTCCTGGAATTTTGGTTTGAGATGGCATTGTATGGTTTGGAAATTGTGGTTACTGGGGTGCGGAAGGTTTTAGTGGAGATTTGGAAGGAAATTTTTGGCTGTTCACTCGACAGAAACCCTCTCTCCAGCTGTTTGGCAGACCACATAGCATAAGCTAGTGTTTTAGGCTGGGTTGTTCTCACAAAACACCTCAAGCTTTGTTTCAATCTTGCTAGGTAGGCTTCTAGGAAGTATAGGTCAGTTAAGGTAGGATGATTTTGGATAAGTAGGCTTTTGAATTCCAGGACCCCCCCCCCCCCCCCCATTCTGCCTAAAACTGGTGAAATCCTCCATTACTGCCCCACCATCCTCTCCAAATCGCCTACACACTGCCTCAGCAAAAGGTATCCACTGGAATGGACCCTCTAATCCAGCCAAATAACTTTCAAACCACAGACTCGCCTTCCCAGTCAAGTTAACATACAACACATGCATTGTTTCGATTTTAGGTATATGAGATAATTGCAGAAATCTTTCACAACGTCCAATCCACAATCTAGGTTGACTGTAATCGAAAGGAGGAAATTCGTATCTATACCTCATCAATGGTGAGCTTTCAGTGGATCGTATTTGAACTCTCCTTTGCCTCCAGTTCCTCTCGAGTTCATCCGGCTCCACCTCGCTGCCGGAGTCCACATTTCCTCCCATTCCTTCGCTTGCCCCTACTGGTTCCTTCCCTGCCCTTCTCGACTGGCCATTCAGAGCTGACTGATGCCCTGATCGGAAGCTCGCCGGGGGTTCCTGTCTCGCTCCATTTACTGAGGAGTTTTCTGGAATCGCCCCCATTATTGGAGGTGGGGGTCGATTCAGACGGATAGTTTCCACTATCTCGTTCTTCCAATCGCTCATCCTGCTTTCCATCTGCGCGATCAGCTTCTCCACAAGGTCTGATGTGGATCTTTTTTGACCTTCCATTTGGCTGCTGAGATCAGCCATCGCGACTTCTAGCTGGTTCATCCGTGCCTCCATTGAGGGCTCTGATACCAATTGTAGTGTCCTTTAGGGTTGAATAAGAAAAGTGATAGAGAAAATAAGAGATTTAGAGAAGAAGAAGAGTCAATTGCATTACAGTTCGCATAATTCCCCTAAACTCCATTACACCGCTTATTACATTCGTTATTCCACTACTAACTAACTGCCAATTAGGCTTAAACGACGTTGTTGCAGCTTGTTTCTAACCGCCTTCAACTACTTCCTCAAAACGCTGCGTTTGACATCACATAACTGTCCAACTGCTTATGTTTCATACGACGATGTTTTTCCTCAGCGATCTTGGACCATTACAGCAGAACTATTGAGAGAGTTGCAGAATGTTTGACAATCAATAAAAATCACAACCTTCGTATATCCTTTCTCTTTAACATATGATAGAGCTTCTTTAACCGTCATGGCTTCCGTTAAGTGAATATCATTTAAACAACGAAGAGGGCCATTCCAGGCAGCCACAAAACCACCATTATTATCCATAACAAGAACACCATAGCTAGCTTGCCCATATGTTCGGTTTTTTTTTTTTTAATGCTAATAAATGTATACATTTTGCTTTAAATGTTGTACACTTCAATTTTATTAGACAAAATTATTCATTTTTGTTAGACAAAACTACCCTTAATTAAATTCCTATGAATGGTAAATCATATGTGTATGTGTAGGTATAATATATGTATTATTTGTGTATATATAACTTGAATTATAATTTTTAACTTTTTTTTATATCTATCAATGTTTTAGTATTGGGCATGAAAATGCTATACTAATATAAATATGTAATTTGATATTAAATTATTCAGGTAGAATAAACGACTTGTGCAAAGTAGATAGAGTAATTCTCTGCGCAATAATAATAATAATTAATAATATGCACTATGCTAAGCTGTCTTGGGGTTTGGTCTACCGGATGGGATTGGGAGGGGGTTGGTTTCATATTTCAAAGAACAACATCTGCCATCTAGTAATCAATAACTTGTTCGACAAAATTGTTAATTGTATATTAATATTTAATAATAATCTGTTTGTTTCTGAAACTTAAAAATAACGCCATAGAATATGCATGGATTGGGTGGGTGTAAATTTAGATCTTGTTTGGTAATATAGTTAATTTATTATTTAATTTTGACTTATTTATTTTATTATTAATTAATTGTTTGACTGAGTTAAACTATTAATATTAGTGTTTGATTAACTAGCTTTTTATAACAACTTATTGTTTCAAAATGTTAAAATTTTAAAAATAGTTCAAAACAACTTTTTTGATCATTTTTTGAGAAAGTCATTTTACATGTAATTAGTTATCAGCTAACAATTAATTTATTAAACAATTTTCTACAATCAACTAATCAAACCCACTAATACAATCAGCTAACAACGAACATTTTTAAAAAATAACAAATTTTTCAATAATCTTTTTGAGAGAGTCATTTTACATGTAATCAGCTATCAACTAACAAATAATTTACCAAACACTTTTTTACAATCCGCTAATAATATCAACTAGTCAATTTCATTAATACAATCAGCTAACAGTTATTTACCAAACATTCTCTTAACTTTCTTCTTATTTTTTAATACAATCAACTAACAGCTATCAATTAATCGATATTTACCAAACAACCCGTCAACCCGTCTCATTCTCATTTGCTCAGCCGATGACTTTTTCGCCTCTGCTCTTTTGTCCCTTCACAGCTTTCAAATGTGAATACAACTCCACCTTTCTCTTGCTGCGGCCATCTACCTTCTTTTATATTTATATATAATATAATATATATTCTTGTGGGATCTTTCCGCACTTCGCTCCAATTTTGACACTCTCTCTCGTTGCTGTCATTCTGTCAACGGAACTTTCTTTTTCCTGTGTAAATAATTTTCTTTAGTTTCAACATTTCATTTTTTGACGGCTTAATTAGGTGGATAGTGTATGTCTGTTTCTATACGTTCGTATTTCTCATAGGTTGACTAATTAAAAAAAGTTAATAACTCCACATATTACAATTTTTATTTATTTCTAACTTAAGATTGACTAATTTAAGCCAATTTTTGCTCAAAAATTATTTGAAGAGGTAAATCCCGAATTGTTTTACTTCTTATTTGTACACTCAACTTTGTGCATAAAATCTTCATCACTTCTAGTCAGACAAGAACGATCTTCCAATGACCTTGTAAAATTTGAACCCCATAATACTGCTAGCTAGAAAAAGACTCTAGAGTGATTTGTTGAACCAACTGAACTAACCATGCATGCAACATCTTACAATCTCTTTGGATTTTTGACTAAAATGTGCAAATTTCACTAAGAATGAGCACAAATGGACAACTTTTAAAATTGAGTCAAAATAGAAAAAACTCATTTGGAACTTGAATTTTTGGTAAAATACACAAATCCCGAGTAAAACTCAAGTTCCAAACTTTTTTTATTTTTTGGTCCAAATTTACAAGTTGTTCATTATTGTCCTTTCCAATATGCCCATTTCAGTCAAAAAAAAAACCCCAATTTTCATCATCCATCTAAGATTTGAGGGTGATTGGGTCTTTGAGATGAGTTCTACTACATGTATTCCTTAATTTTATTTTCTGATGTGGCAGATTCTAATAAGTTTTTTTTTTTTTTTTTTTTTTAATGTAGATTTCAATACAAATGTCTACATTAATATTTTGTGTGTGAGAATACAAATTAGAAATACAAAATAGGAATACATGTAGCATTTTCCCTTTGAGATTGGGAGCAATCATTTTTTCATATTTCTTGGACTCAGTATTTTGTTGGTGGGGTGGGGGTGGGGTATGTGTCCACTTGTTGGAGAGCGTGGACTAGCAGTGCAGCCGTGTGTAGACCATTTATTGGGATTGGCTTTCACTTTTCAGGCCCTTGCTCTTACCTGGCAACTGAGGTGGCTAAATTCCGCACTTGGTTTTCTAGGATTTGATCAAAGATTGAGTTTTTATTCACTTCTTTTTGAACCCATCCACCAGGCTTCCTACAATCCTAGGAGCCATTCATTATCTTCAATCAGATTGAGAACCCCAGAGGTATGTTTCTTTGTTTTCATATTTAATGATGTCTGTTCTTGTTGGGTCTACAACTTACATATCTCTGCACTGTCGGAACTGAATTTTATGCACTTTTTTTTTTTTCTCTGGATGGATGAAAAATTGAAAATGAATCTTGCTAGTATCTGGGGTTTTGTAAACATGGTGGGTCATATATATTTTATAAGATCATATCTTACTAAAAGTTGATTCTGCTCTGCCATGGTTAGTAGTTTTGTGTGTAAAGATTATGATTTGGATGAGATCTTGTATTTTGTTTTAACTTTTAAGCTCAGATGATTTATTTTGGTAGTTTGGTAGATCTTCATTAATGGCTGTTCTGGGAATTGACTTAAAACTGTTGCAATAAATAAGCAAAACTTGGGCTGTAGGAAAGGGACCTGCTTGAATTGATGGGTCCTGAAAAAGATTTGCACAATTAATTAATATCCCCTAAAAGCTTCAATTCTTCAATCAAAAATTGCAGTTATGGTGGTGTAGTTCATTGAAGGAAATGAAGTGTTTCCGGCCTTGCAATGCTGAAAAGAGGGAAGACCCAAAGATATCAAAGTCGAATTTGGGGATCTCTTCCTGTTCTGGCTTTTCTGAGTTTGATGTTACACTTGCATCTGCTTCTCTCAATGCATCGGATACTAGTACAGACTCCAGGGGCAGGACCCAGTTCCCGAGTCTCTCTGACCGCCCCTCCGATCTCAGGGTGTTTACCTTCACAGAGCTGAAAGAAACCACGAAAAACTTTCACCGCTCGACCAAGATTGGGGAGGGTGGATTTGGATCTGTGTACAAGGGAACGGTTAAAAGTTCCGAGGATCCAAGTGCAAAGATTGATGTGGCCATAAAACAACTTAGTAGAACCGGGATGCAGGCAAGACAGTTTCTCCTATGATTTTCCTCGTTATATTTCTTGGATTATAGTGTACATATTGGAAAGCTACCATTTTTGGCTTGATCTGTAAATTGCATATGATTTCTGTAGTTTATAGCTTTCTGTAATTGAAGCATGTGCTCCATCTCAACTAAATGCCTAAGCTGACAGTGGGATTGCACGGTTATATGCTCAACATATATAATTATCTATGTTCTTGTTATGTGCAACAGGGACACAAAGAATGGGTGACTGAGGTTAATGTACTAGGTGTGGCTGAACATGAAAACCTCGTTAAATTAATTGGCTACTGTGCAGAGGATGGCGAGAGGGGAATTCAACGCCTTCTGGTATATGAATATATGCCCAATAGAAGCGTGGACAGTCATTTGTCAGCTCGATTGGGAACGCCTCTGTCATGGGCAATGAGGTTGAAAATAGCTCGAGATGCTGCTCGTGGCTTAGCGTATTTACACGAGGGAATGGACTTTCAGGTGTGTGTGTGTCGTTTTGCTCTTCGTGTTCCAGATTTTTTTCGCCTTTATAGCTGCAATAGACATTCTTCGACGCTTCCATAATTTGAGTATCGTGTCTCTTTGTTATAAACCGCAGATCATCTTCAGGGATTTCAAATCTTCGAACATTCTCCTGGATGAGCAATGGAATGCGAAGCTATCCGACTTTGGGTTAGCTAGGCTCGGGCCTTCTGAAGGGCTTACTCATGTCTCAACCGCGGTATATATGCTTCCTTTTACCTTGTTTCTGGGCATGTTTTTTTTTTTAGTACTATTGACTCTGTTTGTTACAATGCAGACATGCAGTATCTGTTCATAACTACTTTTTTTTTAGTACTACTGACTCTGTTACAATGCAGTATCTGTTCATAACTACTTTTTTTTAGTACTACTGACTCTGTTACAGTGCAGTATTTGTTCATAACTACTTTTTTTTAGTACTATTGACTGTTACAATGTAGTATCTGTTCATAACTACTTTCTCAACCTACTGAAACACAAAAAGTCAATACTGCCTCCACTGACCTCCCATATGGGAGTGACAACATGTGTCCAATGTATGTGTCTTTAACTTCTCTGCTTCTGCAGGTAGTTGGAACCATGGGATATGCTTCTCCTGAATATATTCAAACCGGTCATCTCACATCCAAGCACGATGTGTGGAGCTACGGGATGTTCCTCTACGAGCTCATCACGGGCAGGCGGCCATTGGATCGCAATCGTCCCAAGAACGAGCAGAAGCTCTTGGACTGGGTAAAGCCACACACAACAGATCCTAAGAAGTTTAGGAAGATATTAGACCCGAGACTTGAAGGGAATGTCTTAAGATCAGCTCACAAGCTCTCTCTTATTGCCAACCGCTGTTTAGTCAAGCACCCAAAGTCACGTCCGACAATGAGCGAAGTCCTGGAAATGGTGAGCAATGTTGTCGAAGCGCCAGCGGGAATGGGGAATCCTAGACCGGCTATAAAATCCCCCGAACCCGTTCGTGCTAAAGAAGGAACTGAGAGAAAAGGTAAAAGAAGGATCATTAATATCAGAATTGGAGATAGTGGGTGGTTGGTTCGTATACTGTCGCTAAAACGTGCTAAGATGAACTCCTGATTGTTGCTGCATTTGCATAACATGGAAGAACACTTAACTCTAGACGACTTCCCTTTAGGCGCCGCCCTTGATAACAGTAGTGATTCTCAGCAGTGTGCAGAATCTCCACAAAGAAAAGCTTGCACTTTGTTAGCAGATTCTGAAGCTTTTGCAGATATATATGCAGAATGTGTAATGGTTTCTGTTAGTGGCTTTCATCTTTTCAAGCTTGGTGTTGAGATGAAAAACATTGTTAATTCTTGTACTGCCTGCAAACTGCAGAATTTTGTGAGATTTTGTACTCCATAAAACAAGAAATGATGAAAATATATTGTTAAGTATAACTTGGGATGGATGTTAGTTTTTTTTTTTTTTTTTTTTTTTAATGATGAGGGAAACCCACTGTCACTATCTGAGGGTGTGCACATGTTAAGTTTCGCCTTGTGATCCTAGTTGAGTGTGCATTGAGTAAGTCCCGCCTTGTAACCCTAGTTAGTAAAAGATTACGAGGATGTAAATCAACTGATCAGCTCAAATTAAGAAAGCCAATAAAATCCACAGTCTAGGATTCTTTGGTATAAAGAAATTAAAAAAAAAAAGGTGTGTTGTTGCCATTTGAAAGGAAAGTCTTAAGAAACACCGAAGTAATGTCTAAATCCAATGATTCAAAACAAACTATCAAAGGATCCCAAAACAAGCAAACGCCGTTTTAATTGTCTCAAATCACTGGATCAGACGGAAGAATCCAAATTCATTTGATTTTAAACGAGACAAGCATAGGGGAAGTAAAGACCGCTCAAAAAATAAAATTTTCTAAAACTTTTTATTTGAGAATTATTCAATTTGAGTTATGAGAGTAGGAATGATTTATTTTTCATTTTTATGAAGGAAGAACTGAGGGCGAAACTCGAATATAGGTCCATGACATATAATTGAACTGAGGGTGCTGAAATATAATTGAACTTTTTTTTTTTTCTTTTTGAAACCGGTGTTGCTATTTGTACCATTTTTAGTGAAAAGTGAGTGAAAATAATATTAGAATTGTAAAATGTGAAAATTTCAAAAAGTACATAGTAACATAGGTGCTTTTCAAAAAAAAAAAAAAAAAAAAAAAAACAAGTACATAAGTGTGTAAATAACAATAAAGGTGTAAATATGGTTATTTACACCAACCTAGTCAAATGTAATTTACGAGATTCTATAATAATTTTAAAAAATTAAAATGTGCCATTAATAATTTTTTAATTAAAAATTTAAAAATTAAAACATTTAAAAAAATCATCGCATTCTCCGGTGAGAAGGCAACCTTGCTGCCTCCTCACCTGAGAAGGCGATCCACTAGGTGGCATTCTCAACGGAGAAGGCGATGATTTTTTTTTTTAATAATATTATTTTTAAATTTTTAATTATAATAATATTTGATTAACTTTAATAAAAGTAATGTAAATAGCAAGTTGTTCTATTTACACCATCTATAAAATTAACACACCTATTAAAGAATATAATGGTGTAAATAATAATAAAAGGTGGTACAACTAGAATTCTCATTTGAACTCTTATATGGGATCACCCATGGCTTCAGGATGAAAATAATGCGAAAATAATCACTGACAAACCACCATACTTGGCGCAGGCAACTGTAATGGGATTAATAGATCAGGAAGCGGCGGCCTGGGACCATGATATTTTAACTGATATTTTCATCCCGGAGGATGTGACACGAATATTGAAAATACCTGTGTCACCATATTATGAGGATATGTGGTATTGGCATGGTGATATAACAGGAGAATACTTGGTAAAAAGTGGTTACAGGCAAATAGTGGGAAATTATGAACAGAGGACATGGATGTTTGATAAATGGCCCAAATTATAGAAGCTCAAAGTACCCCCAAGATGGAAAACATTTTCATGGAGAGCCTTGAATAATATATTGCCCACAACAACGAACCTCATTATAAAGAGAGTGGAGATTAGCCCAACATGTGCTATGTGTGGGATTATGCATGAGAATGTTATGCACTCTTTGGTTAGATGTGATTATACAAGGAACATTTGGACACAATCTCACCTTCCAATCCCCAATACTATCACAGATATTTTCCATGCTTGGTTTAATGAGATAGGTTTAATAAGATATTAAATATTCTAGATGATGATGGAATTATTTATGTAGTAGGCCTACTATACTATATATGGCGAGCGAGGAATGGAGCTGTGTGGGATGCATACTTGCCCAGACCACAAAAGATAATTGCAACTGTAACCGCAGCGATCCGGGCATAGCAAATTGCACACCCGGACCGCCCGCAATAGCAACACGCCCCGCGTGGATTGCCCACGGCAACATCCGAGCAGCGCCAAGGAGTGGCGCAACAGCCTGCCGCCGTCCCGCCCACAAGCCATACGGCTGCCTCCCCACGGAATAAATGTTACTTTGATGCGGCCTTTTTCCATGCCACAAATAAGACCGCTGTTGGGGCAATTCTCCTAGACGAACAGGGATCGTATATCACAGCTCTACAGGCGTCATTGATAGACTGCTTCTCCCCGCTTATGGCAGAAGCAATTGCATGTAAAGAAGTGTTATCCTGGCTATGGGATCGTGGAGAGAGATCGGTAGACATACTAACGGATTGTTTGTTACTACAACAGTATTTATCACAAGCGAAGGATACACCACGTTCATACCTCGACTATGCCATTGACACCTGCAGAAACCGGATGGTTTCCTTTGATTATGTTTCAGTTAATTATGTTCCTAGATCGGATAATTGTTTAGCACATATTTTAACCACTTCGGCCTTTAATTATTCAACACCTATGTACTCGGACAATGGTCCACCAAACTCTATTTCAGCATATTTCCAATAAATGCCGCGCAGGATCTTTTCAAAAAAAAAAAAGAATTCTCATTTGAAACAATGAAGCCTTTTTATCTTTTAACGCCCTTAGGCATCACCGGCCCTACCTCTTACATAAGAAATTTTTTCTCTCATCAACAATATATTATTGTATCTCTAAATCATCACTAAAATAATTATTAAAAGTTATACCCCTAATTTATGTCCGTTTTTTCGATTAAGTTTTTTTTGTACATTATACTATAAAGGTTGTACATTAAAATATTTTGGACAAACATATCCCTACCGTTATCTTTTCCACTATTGTTACCATGCACATGCATCCACCATATATTTTTTTATCTTCTTCATTGATAATAATATATATACACATTAAATATTTGAGTTATATGTTAATTATTACATAAATATAAATATCAAATTTATAAAAATGATTTACATTATTATTATTATTATTTAAAATAATTTAAATATCTAAAATCTAAATAAATTTAAAATTTTAATATAATGTACTAATATTGGACACCTATTTTTTGCGCATCGCGCATAAAAAATACTAGTATATGCTATAAAGTATAAAACCCAAAAAAAAAAAAACAAAAAAAAAAAAAACAAAAACAAAACAAAATAAAAGCTGCCCAGCAAATGTTGGACATCTTTTTGACAGCCAGCACGTTGCATGTTGTGCACGTAACCTGCTGGCTAGACAAGCTAGTATGTGCGCAACATGTATGCTCTTCAACAATTTTATATATATATATATATATATATATTTTTTTTTTTATTTCGGTTTTTAGCATCAAACTTGTTGCGAGCAAATAGCTCTCCGTAGCAAGTCTCTTTGCTTGTTCTACTCTTTATGTTTTTTCCTCTAAAACTTTTGAGTTGGAGATACATTTAATCGTTGAGTAGGTTTAAAACTTACTCTTTGACAGCCAACAAGTTGCATGTTATGTACGCAACTTATTGGCTAGTGTGTGGACAACATGCATACTCTTTAATTTTTTTTTTTTTTTTTAATGTTAAACTTGTTTTGAGCGATCAGTACTCAATTATAGCAAGTCTCTTCGCTTGTTCTATATATGTTCCAAATTTTCTCCTCTAAAACTCTTGAGTTGGAGATGCCTTTAGTCGTCAAGTGAGTTCGAAACTTACAAACTCCTTGTCCTTGTCCAAAAAAATTATAAAGTTATGATTTATTATTATTATTATTATTATTTTTTTTTTTTTTTTTTTTTGCATATTTTACTTCCTATAAAGATTGAAAAAAAAATTGTGTTTGAGTATATTTGTAATTTTATAGCTCTAAATTTATCAAATAAGGATCAAAAATAATTTTTTTCTTTATTATCCTACAATATCATAAAAAATTTAACAATTTATAGAATATAAAGTCTTGAAATGAAATAGTAAAGGAGTGTTGTCTATCCAAAATTAGACTATAATAGTCCATTTCATTCACTAGATCGAATTTGAATTTCCATATAATAATTTTTTGTCTTTGGAATTTTAAAATTCATTCAGATATGATGATCAAAAGCCAGCCCTCAAACAAAGCTAGCTCAAACGTAACTGTGGCCGAACACAATTAAACACGCAATTCATAGGAAAACTCAACACCAATGCCTGGCCTTCACCCTAACTCATAAACAGGAATTATTGATTTGACTATTTATGAATTAGGGTTCTTGCAGATCAAATGTTAATGAAGATGACATTAAAAGGAGAGAGAATGAAGCTTTAATGGTGGAGAGTAATTAATAAATATAATTTTGTGAAGAAAAATCTATTAGGTAAGTTTCTAATTATATAACATTATGGATTAAATGTGATACACTGTGAATAATTTTTTTTGAAAACATACACTATGGATAATTAAATGATTAAGTTTGTTCAAATCAATTGATAAGGGTCAAATTTACAAACGTATAACTATTTAGCGCTAAAAGTACTGTTTTTCTTATCATATATTAAACAGTATGGATTGATATCAACATTTATTCACTCATATTAAATTTATATTTATATTTATTTGCATTCAAAAAAAAATTATATTTATTTTATTCTTAGTAATTACTTTCCCAATAAAAAAAATGACTTTATTCTTTAAAAAAAAAAAGACTTTATTTCTTTACTTGAAATTAAATTTCTTTCCCTGTGAATCAAACATGTCTCTGTGCTTGTGCTGTTTCATGGCACTTATCATTGTCTCATATACTTATCTATATGCGTCAGCTTCACGAAGAATGGCATGGAAGATCTATACGAAAAGCACTAAACCACAAATGAGAGAATCTTAATTTGGTCCGATCCATTGAAGGATGATTTCGATCTTATATATATATATATATATATATATATATATATATATATATATATATATATATATATATCAAAACATCCACTTTCGGTCATGACCATTTTTGGTCATTTATCAACAAAATAGTTTAAATATCGTTAAATACAAAGACATTTTGGTTTTCAATTATGATTTTTTTTTTAAAAAATAAACATAAAAACTATAACGATTCAACCTACTTTGTATAAAAAAGATTGAAATGTCTTTGTATTTAACGACATTTCAATGATTTTGTTGATGAAGGACTAAAAATAGCCATGTCACAATAATACTAGGACCAAATAAGAATGTTCTAATAATAAAGGCCTAAAAGTGGATTGTCACATAAATCTAGGACAAAAAAAGAAATTAACTCTTTTTTAAATATAATTGCGATTAATGCTATAATTATACACATTAATTGCTACAATGGTTACTCAATAATAAAATTTAGGGAAAATGACACTTTTTCCCCCTAAATTATATACTTATAGCACTTTTTCCCCCTCAATTATTTATGTAAGCACATTAGCCCCCTCAATTATTTTAAAAGTGGTGGTTTTTCCCCTAAATATATTAAATTGACATTTCTACCCTTAAAGCAAACATTTTATTTATTTTACTTCTCCAACAAATTATTGCGTATATGTAGCGATTACCATGGTTCGAACTGAACCAGACACTATAGCAATCGAATTAAAAGTTTTCAGTTATGATTCAGATCTAGAACCCAATATTTGGATTTCAATTTATTAAATTTAAGAATAAAAAAAAAGGGATCATGAACCGTGAACCGGCGGTTCCGGATCCAGTTCGCGATTTTGAACCGTCTTTATTTTAAAATTTTATTTTTTTTTATTTTAAAATAGTCTAAATTCAACAATAAATGTATTTTATTTTTTCAGTTCGGAACATGAACCGGCCATTCCGGTTCGCGATTTTAATAAAGTCTAAATATTGTGTTTTGATTATAAATTGTAATTGGAATATTTTGGTTTGGTTGCTATAGTATCTGTTTGGTTTGAACCAAATTATAGTAATAATTTGTTGGAGAATAAAACTAAATGAAATATTTATTTTAAATATTTATTTTAAGGGTAAATATGTCCATTTAACATTTCAGGGGGAAAAAGAGCCACTTAAATAATTCAGGGGGAAAAAGTGCTATAAGTATATAACTTAGGGGAAAAAAGTGTCATTTTCCCTAAAATTTATTTTAAAATATGTATAAACACAACTCTTAATTTTAAAAAAATCGTAAATATTTAAAAATCTACCTAAATACATGGACTACATTAATTCATACAAATTTAAAAATTAAATTCTTTAAATGCAATTCTCTTAATTACAATCATATAAAGAAATGCATCATATGAAAGTTTAAACTTATACACAAATTTATATGGAGTATCTTTTTGATATAATTGATAATTCTCTTAGTTATTATCCATATTATTGTAATTATAATATATATGAAATACAATGAAGAATAAATCAATTTAATTATGTAATTTTTTTTTATAAACTTATCTAAATATGTACATGATTAGTGACTATGTTAACCATGCAAAATTTTAATTTTTAATTTTGTATGCTATGAAAATAGATATTTGACCAAATATATGAAAATCCAACGGTATTATTATATTATACATTTTAACATCTTTTTATTTTTTCTAAATATTTATTTAAATTCACAATAATATAATTTTTTCAATGCATCGTACGGATAAAACACTAGTTATACAAATATAGAAGAAGTGTCAAATAAGCACTCTAAGCAAAAGAAATAGTAGTATTAAAAAAAGAAGCAGAAGAAATAGTACAATAATTGAGACTCTTAACTAAAAAAGTTTCATGGGAACCCTTTTATATATAAAAAAGTACAATTAAATTATAATTTTACTTAGCAAGTTATTGTTGATTTGATGCTTACTAAACTTCTATATATGTACATTTTTTTTTTAGGAGAAAGGGTCAAATAGACCCTCGAACTTTCTACTAGAAGTCAATTAAGTCCTTAAATTTTTTAAAATTACAATTAGACACATGAACTTTTAATTTTAGTACATGGAGACCCAATTAAGCCCATGTTGACTGGCAAGTCAAATTGTTAAAGTCTTAAAGATGGTGCACAGTCAACATCCAGGGAGGATTTGATTGGGAGTTGCAGGTAATCTTTCTTTCGGTAATTGGGTCTCAATGCACTAAAATTAAAAGTTTATGTGTGTAATTGCAACTTTTGAATGTTTAAGGGCCTATTTGATCCTTTTCCATTTTTTTTTTATTACAAAGGAAGGGGATACCCACATATACAATCTATGCCTATACCGAGACTCGAACTCTAAACCTCCCACGTAATGAAGCAACCGGATATCAATATACCACAAACCACTTGGTACATTTATATCACAATGACTTGAAAATTTTGTAAAATAAATTTTGATTTGATTTGATTGTTATGTCTTTCTATTACTCTCCAATTAAAAAAATTATTGTATAAATTTTTTAATTTGTAGCCCAAGTCAATACTAAATATGAATAAACATATACATGAGAACTTAGCAGTGTTGCAAAAATCGCGCCTAGGCGCTAGACGCTAGGAGGCTGTCGCGAGGAATGGCCTCGGCGGCCTCCTCCGCAGTTCGGCAATTTTTTTTTTTTTTTTTGAAAATGTCGAAAAAGTTTCGGAAGACATAACTTTAGATGGTTTAAACAATCTTTTGAACAATTTTACAACCACTTTTGTAAATAGTTTCTAAGAAATAACTATGGAAACCTTATGTTTTAGTACTAAATTTTGAAAATTTTTAATTTTAACTTTTTTTTTAATTAAAAAAAAAAAAAAAATCGGCGCCTAGACGCTAGGCGCCTAACGTTTTTTGCAACATTGGAACTTTTTTTTTTTTTTTTTTTTTTGATGTCTTGCAACATTGGAACTTAGTTAACGATAACCTGCTGAATATGTAATATTTGAATTAAATTATATTATTCTTTTAACAATTTAAAAAGTTTTGATAAAAATTCATTAATTAAAAGCTCAAATATACAGAGTACTATTTATTTGACTTACATGACTTATTTGACATCGTTTTTTCTTACATAGGTACTTGAGGTGATGGATGCCGTGGAAGGATTCCATAGTGGTGAATGGTGAATGGTGATGTAATTGTTTGCCCCCTCCTTATTTATTTAATTATTTTTTTAAAAAAGAGGTATAAAAGTTTACTTTATTTATATTGGAAAATGCAAGATGAGACGTTCAAGAAATGGCCGCCTATCGGCCTATATGAAACGTTTTCTTCGAATCCACACAAAATCCTAACCCATACATACATACAAAGTTTCTGGCTTTTCCGTACCTTGTACTCCATTATTCCTTCCCCCCACAATTTTCTTCTTTTTCATCCAAATTTCCTACCAGAATACACGCACATATAATCTATACATACACACAATTTTCTCGCTTTTCAACTCCCAGTAACTTTAGCCGCAGCCAAAGCTAATTTTGCACTGCTGTACGTATTTAAATCTCTCTTTCTTCCTTTACAATCATTCTCCTTTTCTCTGCTTTTTTCTGAACTTGATTAAATACTTATTTTTCTTCATTTCTTTATGAGACGGATATTCACTTGTAATATATTTGTATATATTCATGTATAATTGTGGAGTTTTATTCAAGGTGGGTTTGGATTGGTCTATTATGCTGTTTTGATATCAATTGGGTTTCCTCTTCCTCAATTCTGTTTGTTTTTAGCTCGGTTTCTGTGTTTATCTATTTATTTTTAAAATTATTGTTTTTTTTTTTTGGGTTAGTTGCTGTGCGTGGATTTAGAATTGCGTTGTGCTAAAGCTTTGATTTTTTATTTTCTTTTTCCATTATATGTTTTTAATTTATTTTTCTTGTTATGTTAATAATCTGTATAATAGAGATGCTGATGCTTGAGAAATGAGGATATTATCTATGGCTGCTGATTACTTTTTGTGATTCTATTATTTTTCAATCTGCTATATGTTACTTTATTAGAGTGCTGATTTTGCTCCTTTTTTAGGGTAAAAGAGTGTTTAATTTTATGCCCTTCAAGTATCTGTATGTCCCTCATATAAATAAATTTGAAGCTCTAAAATATATTGGACCCTTGGAAGTTGGAAAGGAGAACTCAGAAATATAAAATTGAGGGTTTAATGTGTAAGATTTATTTGCGGTGTTCTTAGGGAAAAAATGTCTTGCTTTATGGATATTGAAGTTAATTCAAGCACTTAGCAGCTTTGTGTAGAATGGAAATGAACTTGCAAATGAGTGAACCTAATGGAGTAGTTCATTAGTGCTTTCAAGTGTCTTATAATTGTAGCTTATATATTTAAATGCATGTTTAAGGTTTTTGAATTATCTATATCTACATATATACTATTATGTTCAACCATGGAATATACTATTATGAAGACCAACTTGATTATTCCACTTCATGGTTCAGGGATCCTGAATTATTAGTGAATAAAAATTTATTATGGAGTTTTGGCTAGCAGATAGTGAGCTAGAAATGTGCAAAATATCCTCCATTTGAAACACTGCAGTTGTAGATTGTATAAATGTTACCTTTCTGATGCTTTTAATGGAAACTCTTTGTGAAGATATGTTTATGCTTTTATAAATGCGGTTAGAATTTGGAAAGATGTTAGGTGTTTTGAGAGAAAATCACTTGAAGCATCACATTCATGATGGAATATGGTGCTTTTGAAATCATTGTGGATTTTTTTTCCATCTCACATATTAATATCTGACTAGTTCTCACTAGCTTTTATAATTAATTGCATGAATGGAGTATTTACTTTGCTAAGTTTAACTGCAACGCTGCATGCCATCTTTAGAAAAATCATTACTAAAAGATATAAGTAGGTTATTTATGTGAAAATGAACAAATAGGCTTTCCCTGGTTCTTTTATGGAAACTATCATGATCGGGCAACATTTATTGAGTAATAGAAGATTTAATACCTAAACATACTCTGATCCAGCTTCTCTTTCCCTACTAAATATTCAGCAGCTAATTCTTATCACTTTACTTTGATTTTGAATCCTAGTTTTCAGAAACCTGCACTGAGCTTAAACGGAAGGCTAAAATACTTTCAAACAAACAAGGTTGATTCTAGCACTTTCGAACTTTTAATAAGGAAGTTGACAATTCTGCTGAGAGATAAGAATGTATGAACCGGAATCAGATTCTGCTAGTGGGGTTCTTAGGTTCCTTGGCATGGATGAACTTTTCAGTTGTAATGGTTATGGTGATAGTAGTCAGCATGCTGTTGAAATCTGTCATGAACATTATGCCAGAGAAAGTTACAATGACACATTGTATGGCGGAACTGATAATGATGAGGTTATTGCACATGCTCTCCAAGAAGAATTGTCAGAGTTGTCAGTTACAGAAGCTGCTGAGCCTTCACATAGGGATACATATGTACAAGCCTCGACTGATGTCCAACCTTGGTCTAGCCCATCAAGAAATTATTACACTGGCACATTTCTTGCCTTCAGTATTATCTGTGTGCTTTCCACTTCTTCTAAACATTATTTTGATGCAAAGAGTTCTGTAATTTTGCAGGCCATAGTGGTGTGTCGGATGCCATTGATGATATGGGATCTTCAAGCTCTTGCTCTAGTCCTGGAGATAGATCGTGTGATGGGGACGAGGTTACACATACATTAGAAATAATGGATGAGTCAGAGACTGATGGAGAAGTTGCCAGGCGATTGAACCAAATGACTGCTCTAAAAGTATGTTGGGCTTTTGAATTTACGATCTCTGGAATGCTTTTTTGACTGAGAGTTCAATTTTATTCTTATTACTACATGCAAATAAATAGACAATCGAGATGTGAATGCATTAACTTTCAGGTTTTAGTAAGCACTAGATTTTGTAACTCTTGGCTGCGTACACGTGGACTAAATATCACTCATTTCCATATCTTGGCAGGAAGGATCATTTAATGTGTGTAAATAAATAGTTTTACACAATAATGGTTGCACACAAAATAGGGTATGGTTAAATTGAGAGTTTAAGGGCCTGTTTGGCTGCTGGAAAATTTTCCAAAATTTTGGGAAAATAGAAAACAAAAATGGAAAATAGAGTTCTTGTTCAAGTTGTTTCTGTTCTCCAAAATTGAAAAAGGAAAAATGTTTTCCAACTTTTGGATGAAAACAACTTTTGGATGTTTTCCATTACCTGCATTGTAATGAAAAGGAAGGGAAACTGATCCATCCTTTAGAAGATGAAATAGGGAAGATATTTGGGAATTACAAAGCTCCATGGCCATGTGGATGATATTAGAGGGAGTGATTGGAGAATTGAGAGAGGATGTAATTAGGGTTAGAGGCAGCAAGAATTGGTCTTGAAATGGTGAATTTTCTGGAAATTTGGTGGCCCATGTTTGGTGAATTGGGCCTTTTAAAAAAGATCCATTTGGAGAATGAAAACAGTGGAAAGTTGTAATTAAAAAAAGTGGAAAAATGAGAAATGGTTTCCTTTACTAAACGGGCCCTTAATAAGTTAATATACTATATAATATATATTCATGTTTTGTGTTGAGTCTCTAATTGTTGATAAGGGATATTTCAAAGATGTCAAATTCTCAAATGCAATATCATGGATTAACTTTGGGAATCTCCCTTCTTAACAGTGCAAAACTTTCTAGTTTCATTGGATTTAAAATTCTCAATAGTGATTTTTAATGAATTTGAGTTTGTTATTGTTTTCATTCAGCACATCCCTCGAATAAATAGAGATATACCGTCGGTAGATGAAGCAACTTCTGATCATGAAAGGCTACTAATTAGGTAGTGGTTGACACTCTATGAAGTTGCTTTAAACAAGGAAAAAATATTGCATCATACAACTTTATGTAATATCACATCTTTGTACTGATTCTTTACACACTTCTTTAACTACTAAGAATCTAAGATGCATCCTCAAAGCCATAATGGTGTTTTTGGTTTCAGATTACTGCAAAATGGTCTGGTTGAGCACAAAGTTGAAGGGGATGGCAACTGTCAGGTTACTTCCAATTTAGCTCGTTGAAGTATACATTGAAGCATCATATATGATAAATGCTCACACAATATAATGCATGTGAATATGTGATGCTATAATCTATAATACATGAAGTTTACTTGGAGTAACTTGATATTTTATGATGTCAACATTCTATCAAGTAGTAAGTATTCATCATTTTTTCTGTTTTCAGTTCCGTGCTTTATCAGATCAATTCTATCGTTCACCCGAGCATCACAAGTTTGTCAGACAGGAAGTTGTTAATCAGGTGATTTTTAATGGAAATTACATCTTGCTTACAGTCAGTTTGGTTTGTGGAAAAGAATTGAATTTAAATTCCATTGAAATGAAATTACTTGGAATATTGGTTTCATTGTTTGGTTGGTTAAATTGTTGGGAATAATTAGTATAAATAGTTTAAATACTCAAATGCCCCTACATAATAAAGATATGTGAGGGTAATATAGGAATTCTTGTTGTATCCTTTTCCCCCAAAACGTGTGGAAAATAAATACCTAAGGAGACCAAGAAATTCGTTTTCCTCAAATAAAATTATCCCATGAATTTATTTTCTTTGAACCAAATGGACCATTAATGATACTTTGTTTGTTACATGTAAACTCCCATTTGCTTTCTTGTCCAACTTCTCTTCTCATTTCACACGTGATCATTGGGTTTCCATCAGCTTAGAAGTCACCCGGAGACGTACGAGGGATATGTTCCCATGGCATATGATGACTACTTGACGAGGATGTCAAAGTACTATTCAAGTCCCTTTATGTGTTTCTCATATTGTCCATAACTTCATATTTCTTTGATTAGTATGTACGTTTCTTTAGTCATTTCTCCTTTTTCTCCTTTATACCTACCTTTATATTTAATTGTTTCAGGAGTGGGGAGTGGGGTGATCATGTTACATTGCAGGCTGCTGCAGACTCGGTAATCAGTCATTAGTGCAACTGCATATACTTTCTTCCGTTTTGGTTAAAGCGTTAGTTTTTATTCTGATATATTTTCAATAAATTGGCAGTATGGTGTAAAAATTCTTGTCATAACATCATTTAAGGACACCTGTTACCTCGAGATTCTTCCAAAGATACAGAAATCAAAAAGAGGTGATTTCTGAACCTTTTACGTCTAAAACTAGTGATCTTGCTCTGCTCTTCGGGAAATCTGTATTTATTTAGTTAGACTTTGTGAATGACATACTTTTAGTTCATCACTGTGACACATTAACTAGAATTACGCCGCCTTAATACCGATTTCTTATCCTAATTTTGCTTTATTAACTTCTGCAGTTATTCACTTAAGCTTCTGGGCGGAGGTGCATTACAACTCCATCTATCCTGAAGGAGGTAATCATTTGCATACTAAAATGAACAGACAGACAATCATTATACCATGGACCTTGGTCCACCTTACAAGGTGGACCAATTCTCCAATTGCATAATGTTCATTTTTAGTATACTGAAGATTCATTTTCAGTAAATTGAATGTTTATTTTTTGAAAACCCATTTTTAGTATATTAAATGTTCATTGTATGAAGGTTCATTTTTAGGATCCTGAAAGTTCTATTTAAAAATGAACTTTCAGTATATTAAAAATGAACATTCAGTATATTAAAAATAAACATTTATCAATGGTCTTACATTGCAATGTGAACCATAGTCCACCATACTGGTGTTGGGAACACGTTTTTGGGGTGTCATTCTTTCTGTGCTCAAAATGATTTGGTTTGCAGAGTCACCTCCGAGAGATGTGAAGAAGAAGAAGAAGAATTGGTGGAGTTTTGGAAACAAGCATTAGTAACATTACATCTTCTTTCTGGGGAAAATTTACACATACTTTCTGCAGCAATTGATTTCAGTAGTAAAGAATAAGGTACCAAAGAAGAATAACTGAATAAGAAAAAGAAGAAAAGTAAGTTTACTCATGCAATGTACGGATAAAATAAACAATTAAGAATTATAGACAGGTTGCATATGTTTGTAGGCATATTCTGTTGATGTCACAATGGAAGTTATGAATAATGTTATATTCATCTTCACAGTTTACTTGGTGTTTTTTTACTTTATGTTAACGTGAATAGCTTTGATTTATACATAGGGGTGTTTGGTAAATAGTCATTAAGCTGATAGCTGAACTGACTAGTTGATAGTATTAGCTGATTGTAGGAAAATGTTTGGTAAATTAGCTGATAGTTGATTACATACAAAATGACTTTCTCACAAAGTTGATCAAAAAAGTTGCTTTGAACATTTTTTTGAATTTTAGTATTTTGGAGTAATAAATTGTTACAGAAAAAAATAATTAATCAAACATTCATATTGATTATTTAATTATGTCAAATTACTAATAGTGATTAAATAAGCTAAAATTAGTTGATAGACTAACTATTTTACCAGGTTATAATGTTAGTGTTTTTTTTTTTTTTTTTTTTTTTTTTTTTTTTTACGTGCGGAGCTGTATTTGATTCATAATATGTGCTGATGCATGGTTGGTAAATAATATATTTGGTCCTGAAAGTATGCCGCAAGTATTCTTTATTTTTGAATTGTGATCATGAAAGTTTGATTTCTCTCCTTGTACGAGAAGGATGTGGACTGTCCGTTATGGTTGTGTCTTAAGGGAGAAGCTACAAAAAGGTTATTATATGCTTGAATTGAACGGAAAGAAAAACGAAAATGTGAGCAAAACACGAATTATGGTCAAATATCATCATTTGAAACACTAGAAATTGTCGCTTTAAAATGTGAATGGTTAAAAACTTGAAGGTCAAAAATGATATTAACTCTATTTCAAATATTCCAATCTTTTAATTATTATCATAGAAATTTAATTTGTTTTTTTTTTTTTTGTTTTTTTTTTTGTGGGTGATCCTAGCCAGTAAAAAAATATACTAGATAAGTTTCACATTATGACGCTAAGCAACAAAGTACCACAAGAAGATGAAGTACCACAGGAAGATGTGCGATTACACATTGTGATATTAGTTGACAAAGAACCACAAGAAGATAAATTAACTTAGATTGTCCATAACTAATAGGCTCAAATTTTATGGTCACCAAGCCAACCGTCTGACCAACTTGATAAGGGTTAATATCATTTCATCTATATTGTACAAGACAAATCACACATTGTGACCCTAACCAGCAAAGATCACAAGTAGGTAAAGTAAGTTAGGTCTCCTATTGGAGATCGAACTTGAAACCTTGTGATCTCCAAATCAATAACATGGCCAACTTAATTAGGGCTGTTCCCATTTCATTTTCTTCTCATATGAGACTGCCATGTTTCAACATTCAGAGTTTAAAATTTAATATGAAATAACCAAATTTTAAAAAGGGAACATTACATTTTTGGTCCATCAGTTATACCAATGGTACAAACATAATATCTGAATTATATGCGTGACCATTTTAACCCTTAAGTTATGGTCAAAGTGATGATTTAGTCAATCGAGAACTATTTTACCACCAATTTAATTTATCACTTAATAAAGTGTCTAATTTGATCCTTCAAAGATTAAAATCACCACTCCATACATAACTTTTGAATTAAAGATAATCACACATAACTCAAGAAGAAAGGAACTAAGTTTATACCACGAATATAAAAGGACCAAAAATACAATTTTCCCTTTTTAAAATTCGTAAAATGATCACAAAACACAAAAAGTTTATTTTCTTTTTCCAAAATAAAACTGCTCTTTCATTTCATTTATTCCAAATTTGAGTATCTAAAACCCAGAATAACCCCTAAAGTTTCATTTCTTTCTGAATTTGCAACAACTAGAAGATTAGATAAGTTTTTTGTCCATGAAACCCTAACCCTCTACCCCCCCACCCCCGGGAGAAGCTAAGAATACAGGAGAGGTGTATATCTAAGGACTAATGCTTCCCAATATCTTCATAGGGCTCCCCTTCCACCTCATTCATCGCCGGCGACGTCTGCGTCAGCATCGACGTGAACGTCATGTCCCGCCCGCCGTTGCCTGAGAAATCATGCTGTGCTGATGACGGCTGGATCATCTCGAACCGGCAACACGGCCGCGTGATCGAGAACAACCCCACCTCCGGCATCGCCGCCGCCGCCGCCTGCATGTACCTGCCTCCGCCATTGCCCAGGCAAGGCACCGACAGTTGATGCACCCGGTTTGTCGGCGCCGCCGCCGCCGCCACGTACATACTAGCGCCGAAGGACGGAGAAGAAGGGATAGGCAAGGGCAGCACCCGCGGGCTCATCCCCGCCAGCGGCGCCATCCCGGCCAGCGGCGGCGGCGGCGGCCGGGAAGCAATGATGGCGCCGGACTGGGACGTGGTGACCGCCGACGCCGGGGTAGTTCCCGTGCCCGTGGCAGCGAAGATCGCCGGCTCCGCCTGGTGAAGCAACCACTGGATGGTCTCCCCCTCCGTGCGGTGGCCCAGCTCCCTCGTCAGCTGGAAGATACGAGCGGCACAGAGCGCCGGCATCCTCACCCGCCGTCCCCGCCCGTTAACCTTCGTGTGACGGTCCTTCACCGCCGCATTCCTCCCCCTCGAAACCTCCCCCGCCTGATCACCGTTAACCCCCCCGCTACCGTTATCCAAAGCGGCGGCGGTGCCGTGATGAACAATCTGGTAAAGCGGGCTTTGGGCCGGCCCCGAAGCCGGAGAAAGAGCGTTGGGAGACTGAGAAAAACCACTGAAAACATTCTCAGAACCCATTTTTATGATTAAAGAAAGGTTTTTGAGTTTCTTTAATTTTGTGATGAATATCTGACCCCACCACAGAGAAGCCCCTTTTATAGTTCGGAAACCCGTATGCGGATTGGGATTGCTGACACGTGTACCGGCCCCACAAACATCTGGATTTGGATGGTCCCACCTCAGTCAAACCATTTCCCAATTGGAATTACCTGCGCTTTAACGTTAAAAATGTGTCGCTTCTTACTCACATTGTCACAGGATACAGTATGTATCCCACTGGCAACACACACTTTGTTACTATTTTTATTAAATACAACAAATTTTCTTATCTGTACTCCACTCCCTCGATCACTCTCATTTTGGATACATATAATGTTATATTCTCTTGCGAAAATTACGATCCTAATATTTGAATTCGTTCATTATATAATTTTTTTTATTAATTCATGATACGGGAACTTTAAATTTATATTTTACAACTCATGGTCGGGTAAATCGGTAACGTTGCAAATGAAATGAATATTTTATACTAATTTTAGTAGACAAAAATAATTTTTTTTTCAATGGGTGGCACAATTTAATTAGTATCTTGGAATTAGGTGGCATTAAATCTCTTTAGGTATTATAATCTTATATCAAATAAGTAAATTTATATGATATGATATTATTTTGATTAACTCATGATGAGATCTCAAATATTGATAGACAATTGAATAAAAAAGTAGCAATAATTTTTAAAAGTCGCTTTATTTAATATACTACTCCGGATTTGATATAGAAATCAAGCAATTTAAACTAGATAGATAATGGTCTAATGGTACTTAGGTTGGACTTTTTGTGTTTCAGTAAGTTGAGAAAGTATATGAACAGATACTACATTGTAATAGAGTCAGTAGCATTCAAAAAAAAAAAAAAGATAGATAGTGCTAAAAAAAAAAAACTAGATTTATAATGTCACATAAAAAAATATTATGAAACAAATTTGGAATGAGAAAATAACACATTTGGAATGAGAAAATAACACATTTCATCAAAATTTAGTCTACTATATGCATGTAATATTTTTATACACAGAATAAATTTGAATTTACCGAGACATGTCAATAGTATTAAAATAAATATTAAGTAATAATACTACATTCTCCTACAAAAATTATGATCTAATATTCACCATTTGAAGTCTACAAATTTTGATTTATAGAAAATGCCGACACCGCTACTTGAATGTGCACTTTTGGGTGAAGAGCAAAGTTGGAATCTTATGATTAATCCAGTCATCTGTCTGACTAACTTGGCTGAGATTGTCGCCTTGATGTCTATAAACTCTTATTTATATGGGAAGAAAATAACATTTGTTTTATGAATACTTATCCAATAAACCCAAAAATGAATATATAGTTAAATCAAGAATTAACTTTGCTACAATTAGACGAAATTGATTAATATTTTTTTTTGGGTCAGAATTTCCACACAGACCCCTTACTTTAGTTTGTACAAGATATTTTTTGTCTCCCTAAAATTTGATAATTTAAAAACAAGAATTATTTTCATCTTTAACATCATGATGTGACACAGGTAATCCTAATCATGAAGTCTTAAGAACAGCACATTACATGTGAACTCATCAATAAAATTGTCTCAATTTGAACGCCTTTGGCTTTTGATGATGCTATTTCGTTACAAATGTCTACGATTCCACTCTAAATATGGTATATCCAATAAAGCACAATTTGTATGTTTTAATTGATTTTTTAAACGAGAAAGGAAAAAGAAATAAAAAAAATTAGTGTTAATAAACATATTTTTTAAGTTAAAAATAAAGAATGGAAAGTAGAGAATTGAAGTGAATATATAACATAGGCTCAATAATATTAGATAGATTCATAATCAGACGAGAACCACCCCTTAACCTGCGAATTGAGAATTTGTGAAGGATTACACCGCATTTACTATATGATTGCACCACACTTATTACATGATTGGCACTGCATCCAGATGCACTGCGAGGTCCTCCAGCATGTCTGAGAGCCATAGCATTATAATCATGTAGTAGTTGCGATGCAATCCTTCACAAATTCATAGTTCTCATGTTAAAGTTGGTTCTCGATCACCTGATTAGATATACAAAATTTTATACTACGTCTAAATTAAGGTTTTCTATGGTTATATGGTTCCATTTAATTTTTTTGAAATTTTCATGGTGTTTTCATTAGAAATATGCTGCAATAATGTCAGGTGGGGATAGATCCCAATACATAGTAGTAGGCTGCTGGAACGCAGCGGATGCTAGCGCATGAGCCAAATAATTATCTGATCTAGGTATGGAATTAAAAGAACAAGAATTAATCGAAGCTGCAATGGATTTACAGCTATCAAGAGCATAACCAACATAGAACGAACTGTAGACGGGGGTGCGACGAGATATCGTTGCAATGATAGGCAATCTGTGTATAGATGTACTGATGTCTCACCCCGGTTTTTAAGTCATGATAACGCTTCTTTGCACGCAAACGCCTCCGCCATTAGTGATGAGAAGCAAACTGGAAGAGGGGCGTTGAATGCTGCCACATATCCACCATTTGCATAGAGTAAAACCTCCCCTACCGTTGCCGCACCGGAGTCGTGGAGGTAGCCGGCATCCACGCGGCATATCTTGCTTAGCTCTATCGCCGTGTTGGGGGATATAGCGGCCGTGAGAGCATGCGGCAGTGGGAGTTCTCCAGCAGGTTCCTGTTGTTGCGGCTGTGACACGGATGCGGACGGCAGCCGTGCGTTGTGCCATGCTTCCACGGTTGCCGTGACCGTGGCTAGGAGCTTCGTGGGTCGTGGCATAGCGGCATCCCATACTGCTCCATTTCGTGCTCTCCAAATATGATATAAGATTGCTGTTGCATATAATATTCTATTAGAGTCTAGAATATTTAGGAGATCAGAGAACCAAGTATGAAAAACATTCGTGACAATATTGGGGATTGGAAGGCTAGATCGTTCCCAAATGGCTTTCGCAAAATCACACAACACCAAAGCATGCATAGTATCTTCTTGAACAACTCCACACATAGCACAATTTGGGTCCACCTCCACTCTCTTTATAATCAAATTTGTAGTGGTTGGGAGGATATCACTAATTGTTATCCATAGAAAAGTTTTCCATTTGGGTGGGATTTTGAGGCTCCATAGGGTGAGCCATTTATCAAAAGATCCATTGTTATGCTCATAGTTTCCCACAATGCGCCTATACCCATTCTTGACTAAGTAGATCCCTTTTGGGTCCCCATGCCAATACCAAGAGTCTTCATATTATGGGGAAATAGGTATCCTCTCTATATTCTCCATGTCTATAGGTTGGAACAAATCAGTAAGAATTGAATGATCCCACGTACCAGTGTCCTGGTCAATCAACCCCACAACTTTCGCATCCGCTAATTGCACAGGCATCTCTGTCTGTATCATAGGTTCTTGATCATCCTGTATCCATGGATGTGCCCATATAGATGTGGTGAGACCATTCCCAATCCGGCTCCTGACCCCACTACAAACCAGGCTCTTCGCTGCTATAATACTTCGCTAGCAAAAACTAGGATTATTTCCCATTTCTGCCTCATAAAACGAACTCTTGGTATAATATCTAGCCTTATAAACAGATGCCACCAAAGATTCCGGCTTGGTAAGTAGGCGCCACGCCTGTTTCCCTAGCATGGCTAAATTAAACGCCCGCAGGTCTTTAAAGCCCATTCCCCCATGCTTCTTTAGGATACACAACTTGTCCCATGCTTTCCAATGTATTCCTTGACTATCACCAGCTCCCCACCAATAACGGTTCATAACTCTCTCAATTGCCGTACACATAGTCGCAGGTAGCAAAAAAACACTCATTGAAAAAGTAGGCATAGATTGTGCTACACTTTTCAACAAGATTTCTTTACTAGCCTGTGACAACAGCTTCTTATTCCATGACCCAATCCTGTGCCTGATTTTGTCCTCAATATATGCAAAGGTCGCTTTCTTATTCCTTCCTACAAACGATGGGAGCCCTAAATATTTACCAAAATTAGGAGCCTGGACCACACTCAAAATTTGTGCCACATTATTCCTATCAATCTCACCAGTATTCTTGCTGTAACATATACTTGACTTGTGATAATTAACCACCTGTCCAGATAAGTTTTCATAAACAGATAAACAATTCTTAATCTCACTGGCTTCCTGGGCATTGGCTTTGAAAAAGAGCAGACTATCATCAGCAAAAAACAAATAAGATATTGGGGGGCACCCCTTGCAACTCTGCAACCATGAATAGAACCTCTAGCTTGTGCCTGCTGCAACAACAAAGAGAGCCCTTCTGTGCAGATAATAAAAAGATAAGGAGACAAAGGATACCCTGTCTTAATCCACGAGTAGGCATAATCGTGTCACTGCGCGAACCATTAATCAAAAAATTATAGGACACCGAGGTTACACATACATAATCAACTCCACCCATCTGTTGTCAAAACCCAGCGCTACAAGCATGTTGCGCAGGAAAGACCACTCCATTCTGTCATAGGCCTTGGCCATATCCAACTTGAGAGCACCCTACCCCACCTTTCCACACTACTTTCGGTTCAAGTAGTGACCCACCTCCGCAGCTATCAATATATTATCTGTAATGAGTCTATCGGGTATAAAAGCACTCTGCAAAGCTGATATTAACTCATCCATTATGGGTTTCATTCTGTTAGTCATTACCTTTGCCATTATCCTGTAAATCACATTGCTGAGGGCTATAGGCCTGAGATCAGTGACCAATTCAGGAGCACTCGTCATTGGTTCCATTTAATTAATTTTAATTGAATTAACTAATTTATAGGTGATTAAATGAATATAAATAAAAAGTGTGAAATTGTATTAGTTTCTTGAATTGTTATACATCTTTTTGGAGTCAAAATTATCACGCTTCACATATATCATAACAAAGTTCAATCAAACATGGGGGAAACTTTATTTGATTAGCCCAATGCATATATTAATATATTGAT